CTAAGTATCCCACGAGTGTCCGGTGCGTGGGCATGGGCGAGCAGGCGCTAGCATACCTTGCCAGTTGCCGCCGGCTGCGGTTGCGACCCGTGGGTCATCCGATGGCCCCACCGGATCGTCTAGTTCAGCACAGTGACCGGCAGCCAGGATAAGCGCCAGCGCGACGGCAGGGTGGGGGCAGCCTGCTACAGCCAGATATGCCGCCGGGGTGCAGCAATAGCTGTCCAGTTGTGCCAGAGCCTGCTCGCAGACAGCCGTGGCGGCTGCGCCGGCGGCTTCAGCGGAGGCCGCTGCCAGTGGCAGACCAACGCGGACGTCGTCGTACGGGTTAAACAGCTTCTCTCCGGCGCCGGGGCAGATGCGGCGCGACGGGTTGACGGGCCGAGACGGGTCCAGCACTGCCGCCAGTGCCGTCGCGTCCGCCTGCGGTCACGGCCAATCCGTACCACCCGATACTGGCAAATGGATTAAATTTGGCATTTGACATCGGTGTAATGCCATGGCCCAAACATCATGGCCCAAACCCCAGGCATGCAGGCTTGTTTGCATTGCTTGGTGCTATTAGCCATTAGCTTGGGCTCATTCCGCCATTCGGCTTATCGACACGATCTCATTAAAACATTAAGGGGCAATACAAATATACCTTGAAATTTGCCAAGCACAGCCCACCTGAAGCATCAGGCAAAGGATGTCAGCCGCCGCCTCAACCATCTTCGCCTCCATTGCGCCCATTAAAGCGGCGGGCTGCTGCGGCACCGCCGCCGCTGCTGCCACACCGCCCTTTCCGCCGCCGGGCAGCCCTGCCAACGCCATAACCGCCTGGCTGGCTGCCTGGCCGTACAGGTCCGACGCGAAGGCGGGACAGCGGCCGCCCTGGCAACATGCCAGCGCGATGCTACCAAAAGCCGCCAACGCGGCAGCGGTGCGGCACAGTGGGTTAAATGGCACACCACCACAGTACGGCAGGAAAAAAGAGCCGTGGACGTCACGCACGAGGAAGGCGAGCAGGCGGCGGAGGTCACGCGGCGGCGTGATGCGGTCGCGGGCAAATGCAGACAGCAGTTGCCCGCACAGGTCGATGATGAGCTGTTCGGTTGGGTGGCGCGGGTGGGGTGGCATAGGGTTCGATTGGCGGCGGAAGCAGGGCCCAGGGGTTTACAGCAGGGCCAAGCAAGACCAGGCACTTACGTACCCGCTTGGACGGTAACAAGCGCAAACACGTGAGCCTGGCGATGCTGCGAGTGAGCGCGAGCACAAGCACTTGCTAGTCAAGTATTGCCGCAGTTTACATGCAGGTGCGCGCCTACTTCCCACTGGCTGCTTCCAAGGGCGCATACGGCAGAGGCCGCGGCGGCGCCCCCAGAGCGGGCCCCCAGTGCTGACCGACCTTGTGTAGTGACTGATCGCTGGTGCTAAACGCCGCATCACTCAGAGCACTCAACAGCGTCTCCACGCCGTCCACCTCGTGGCCGTTACCGCTGTCCATTGATGCAACGCCCACGGCCGCGGCGCAGGCTTCCTGCAGCTGCCTGCCCTCCAGCCGCCGCGCCAGTGCAAGCAAGCAACCCAAGAGGTGACGAAACCCAGGCGCTGGTGTCACAGGGCCTGCGGCGGCGGCGGCGGCGGCGGCATCGCCGCCGCCCCGGGCGGCCAAGCGCCACGCCAGGGCGTGCGCCACTAGCAACACCGGCAAGTCGGGCATCACCGCAAGCGCTACCGCAAGAGCTGACGGCTGTAGCGCCTGTAGTAACACCTTCAGGCCCAGCAACAATGACTCCAGGGGCTGTTGGAACAGGGGCCGTCCGCCGGGACCTGCTGTGGGAGCCACGGCAGTGACGCTGGCGCCGTCCGTCGGCGGCGGCATGGCTTGCCGGATGCGCGTCGCCCATTGGGCCAGAACCGCGTCCAACTGGGCAGCCTGGGCGTCCTCCCACAACGTTATCGGCCCTAGTTTATGGATTGCGGGAAGGACCTAGCGACGGGCGGAGGAAGGAAGAATGGGAGGCAGGAATGAGAGGCGTGAGAATAAAAATGTGAATGATTCAAAAGTCATGGGCCAAGGACCAGGAATGTGCCGAGTTCAAGGCATGCACTCCTCCCTGCGAACGGCCCTCTATCCCCTTCCCCCTCCGCTGCTGCCGCTGCCCCTCCTCCGGCTCCTGTTCCCTCTGGCCCCCAGTCGCTCACCAGCGCCCGCACCGCCTGGTCAGGGTGGGCCGCCAGCAGGTACAGCCCCGGGTAGCGGCCACCGTCTGCCAGCTCATCTGACAGGGCCTGATCGCGGGAGAGCGTCCGCAGCGCCACCGCGAGGCGGAAAACCACCTCGGCATCCGCGAGGAGGGAAGGGTGGCTCAACGCCTCGAAGAGACCCAGCACCAGCTGTGGTGGGGATTGAGCAGGGCAGGCCCGGGGAGAGGAACTGGAAACACCGGCAGACGGGCTGATGATGTGGGATAACCTGGTGGTGGCCGAGCGTGCATGGGTTCTAAACCCGGTGGTTCCTTGATGCGAATAATGACAGACCGGCGCGGCATCAGGCGCGACCCACATCGTTGTAAGGCGGCAGTCACCCACAACGTCGACTTGGTAAAATGGCAAGGTAACCTACTGCGGCAGTGTTGTGGATGAGAAGGTAATACGTGCAAGCCCGCGCACGCATCAAAACGAAGCAACTAAAACAATGCTCTCCCTACATGTAGAACCTTAGAAACCCGCAGTGCAACCAGGATGGAACGCACCCGGGGAGAGGGAGCTCACCTTCTGGGGCGGTGCCGCGAGCCGGTCCGCCTGCTGCAGCTCCCGCTCCCCCTCCTCCAGCCACCCAGCCACGCGTTCGGCATCCTTCCGTGCCATGATCTCCAACAGGACTTGAACCTGGGTCGCCAGGACACGCCGTACAGCGGCCGGGCAACAACCAAGATGTCCCGCAGCCAGCCAGGACAGGGGAAAAGTCAGCAAGACCAGTTGCCACGTCCCCATGAGCGCAAATCAAGGCCATGCGAACGGCGAACGGCAATCGCCCGTACTTCAGGGGAAGTGGGTTCCCCTGTGATGCTCCTGTTTACGACCGTCGCCAAAGTGTCGCCAAAATCCCGGCGCACCAACTGGGTTGCGGCTGTACGGACTGCACCTAAAGCAGCGGGTCTCATAACGTCGTACGCGGGCCTATGCGGGGCGTTCACGGGTATACTACACGCTGCTGGTCCGTGCACACCTCAAAGGCACGGGCCAGGCTGGGGTATATCCGTGACCTGGCCCTCCTAAGGGGAGCAGCCTTTTGTCCCGTGCACCCACTACTATGCATAAGGTGTCTCGACCCGTCTATGTATTCACAGAGTCGGGTCGTTCGGAAGCTGACCTGGGGTCCAACGGACACGGTGGCAAACGACGCCCAAGCCGCATGGTACTGTCGGATGCACTGGGAACATGTCGACAACTGCTGTGAAATCTCTTCCCATATGATTTTCACAACCGGCTGTGTTTCGTAAGACAGCACCTCCGATAGTGCTTGTGTAACTGCCGGGTTGGGGAGGAAGTGAGGGGAAACGGACAAGCAATGAGACGGAGGGAACTTGATTTGGGCGGCTCTCACGCCTGGGTGAGAGTGAGGTGGGCTATGACCAGGTCGAAGAAGAGATTATGACCACTTCAAGGCATAAGAACGACCCAATCCTGTAACTCTGTTATTCTAAGCATAGCTGGATCCACCTCTTGTGTGCGAACACCACCAATGTTGATGCTTCCTCAGGTACTCGTACGCCGCCTTGTACCACCCCTATTCAGCCATGCCGAGTCAAATGAAGCATAGTTATATTGTGGTTGCGAAGAAAGAGCCAAAGGTCACCACACCTGCCGAGCTTTCTTGTCACCGCTAGCTTTAACAACATCCAATTGCTGGATTAATGCATCTTCCTCGGATGCATCCATAACGGCAAGCCCGGAGCTTATGAACTATGGCACGCTTCTTCAGCGGCCCTTCTTCTGACCAAGGAAAATCATGCGCGCCTAATCCTGACTACCCCTGCAGAAGAAAGCCTATTATAAACTTTAAAAAATAACCTTACCTACCTACATATCAGGATCGACCATCTACTGTGCTTATTTCAGGGTCTTCGCATGCGGTACTCGCGCAGCATATCGGTACATGCTGTGCTGCAGCACAAAGCAGGTAGCACGCTCCGCTTAGGAATTAAATGCACCTCAACGTGAACGGTGTCTAAAGATTACATGTGTAGCCATTCTATTTAATAGTTAGTACTGGCCGAATTGTCGTGCGAAAACGTTACGTCCTAATATGGTGACCTTGTCGCCCGGCAAAGCCGGCGCTTTCTCGCTATGCTCTACACAGCACGTTACAGAAATCCGGTGAAAGCAGCACAGATAGCATAAAGGCATTGAGGAATGAACTGGTATCCAAAGCGTCAGCAATCTCCCGTGGCCCACATGCACGTCAAAGTCTTTCTTGCCATCTTGTTCGTCATCATGACTCGCATCACATTTAAGGCGGCCACGACTATTAAGGTTTCCATTATCACCGAATATGGTCCAACGCCTGGTCACAAAACAAAATGCCTAATCGGTACGACCCCAAATGCATCATTTGGCGCATATTACACACTCCGGGACTCACTTTCGCTAAAAGACGCCCTCTGCCCGGAGGCTGCCCGGGGTCAGCCCTTGTCGTACATCAGACTAACATGTCTATGTAAAATGGACAAACGCTGCAACATGAGTACGATACGATGCTTAGAAAGCAAATGCGGACAGAAATGTCCACATATATAGGAAAAATATTTTCCTGCGCCAACGCCGCCGCTCGCGGGCCCCAGAGCGCAGGACGGCCGCAGTTGCCCCTCCCGCGGGTTACCGCTCCCATCCCCCCGGCAGCCGGAAGCTGCGATCAAGGGCCATGCAGCAATGGTCCCAAATCTGGACAACAGCGCATGCGTATGCTCTACGGCCCAAACCGCGCCAGCTGCAAACAGCCATGGAAAAGGCCGCTACAACGTCGCATTAAGCTCAAGCGCGTGAAGAAGCACCTTCTGCGCCAGCATCCGCCTGCCCGCGCTGCTACTGCTGCTGCTACCGTTGTTCAAGATGCCGTTGACCGTATTGGTGACTTTGCTGGTGATTGTGCTGCCTACGTCGGTGCTGTTAATCGCCGAGGTGACGTTAGAGATGATCGCCTGCGCGCCCTCCTGGACCTTTTTCCGGTTGGGATTAATGATCTTGATAACGATGATCGCCACGACACCCAGTACGACCAGAAGCAGCAGAAACGCGATGCACCTGTGTCCGCAAGGCCACACCGTTGATCTTCGCGACGCGTATACAACCCATAGCGCTGCTTGCAACGCAGTAAACTAGCGGCGCCACTTTGCTGGTAATGCAAACTGGTCCCTTCGCATCACATCACAAGTTTTCCGATCCTACGCACAAAACACGCTGCTGCAGGACAGCATAGCGTGTAGGTTACATTAGCTGCCCAGTGTGCCTAGGAACGTCTGTGGGCTGTCATGCCGTCTGGCCCGCCCTTGCCTGCTTGCTGCCATCGCCCCCTCCCACTGCTAGCTTACTTGTCTGTGAGGAGGCCACGCGTGATATCGCGGATGATCTGTGTGGCCTTCTTCATTGTGAACTCGATTTCATTCAGCTGGTCCACAATGTCCTCCATTTTCTTCGTCTGGTCGTTTAGCGTTTGCCCAAGCTGCATGCAGACAAATAGAACAGTGAAATAGAGTGCGGCCGTGGTCAACCCAAGCACGCGATGCTGCCTGAAGCGAAGTACGGACATGGGGATAAATGGACCTTCCTCCAAACCTGAACATGCATTGCGCATTCGCTGCGCACCCCGCATGCCTTTCACGACAGCCAGAAGGGGCATATACCTAACAGCAGCCCCCAGGGTCGCTTACCGCGACGCCCACTTGCTTGGTGTCCTCAGCGATTCGCTGGGCCCGGTCCAGCGTCTTGTCGATATCCGCGATGTCCTTTCGCCCCTTACTCATCAGCTGCTGCATGGACATGGCTGCATAGCAGGCAGCGAGGTGTCCGCATACCACAAGATCCACATGAATACAATAGCCATTGCGCTGGCGCGGCCTGGGCTGCTAGCCCTTCACTATGTAGTGTACGGGCTCCGCGTAGCAGACCTTTTCCCCGTGACTTAAGAGAATCGTAACCCCTTCCCGTGGTTCTAAACCCGATCATATCTCCCCTTTCCCAAACCTGACCTACCCCACCTAAACCACCCTAAATGTAGCCATACAAAGAAGGCAATTTCCCAAACTTCGTCAAGCCAACACCAATGGTCACTCGCCTTCAAGGCCCATCTCAACTTCTCCAGCTTGAGCACCACTCAGGAGGTCACCCTTATTCCCCTCATTCTGCGCAAACTGCTTCTTCATCTCGATAAAGCCGTTAAGCTCTGCTGCCATGGCCCGTTTGCGAGCGGTAAGCTCGCTGGCTGGCATCCCATCCGCGCGTGCCTCCCGCTCAAAGTCCTTGATAAGCCTGAGGGGTTTGAAGGAAGCAGCTTGTGTGCTGTATGCACTGCTAAGCCGAGGAATACTCCTTGGCAACTGCCTAGTGCAACCCAAACACACGACTTGACTCACGACTTCGCCTCCTTAAGCTTGTTGGTAATATCCTTGATCTGTGCATGTATCTTATCCGGTTTTGATGTTTTATGTAGTTTCTTAAAAGCCCGGTCCAAGTCCTTGAATATTCGGTCACATTGCTCCTCATACTCCGTCCGCTCAAAAACTATTTCCTCCTGTGGAGGCGGAGACTCCTCTTTAGCCGCTTTAGGAGGCATGGTTTGCGAATCGCCAGACGTTAAAATGGACAGCAGCTGCAAGTAGTCGGCCTAAGTCACATGGCAAGCCTGCCCTACAATTGACATGGCAAGAAGCTACCTATACACCAGAGGAATGGCTTAGGACACAAGAACCGCGAGGAGGTGAACAGAGGTTTCTTAAGGCACACGTATAACAAGAGGTCGCACAGTGATGTTCCTGACTTAATAGGTACAGAGTCACAGCGATAACCCTCGCATGTTTACATATTCACTATTAGCTGAAGGGGAGATGGCATGAAACAAGCAGTAGTTACTGTTCTTTACGACACCGGTTGACGAGCAAACAAACAACTTTGATACATCTAGCATGGAACGGGAACTATCCCATCTCATGCTATTTCTCGGTGTTATTTTTCGCGTCATGGCAGATCCCGATGCAGACCGTGAAGCCCGAGGCCCGCTAGATGCGGACTCTGACAACGAGGACGGCCCCGAAGCGCCGCTCCAGGGCCAGCCGCGCCGTGAGCGCTTGGAAAGGATTGCTCTATTCGACTTTTTGAGGCTCGTAGCGGGCAACCGCGACCTCCAGCCAGGCTTCAGGACCGTCGAGGAGCTAGTGAACCACCTCAAGGCAAACGATACCATTACAAGGTACTTAAAATTGTTGGTTCCGAAGGCTTTAAATTGTTTGGACATCGATCTATATGAGCAGCTGTCGTGAACACGCTGGCTTCTCCCGGTCGTTGCTGCGAAACAGGTCCGACAGCTGACGTTATACGCTGGGTTCCTCGGACGTCCCGTCAATACCATCCCGAGGCTAACCATACCTATGTCTTTGGAATTTCAGTGTTGAGGGCTTTGTTTTCGTCAAACTTGAAATCCTTCCGCATTTTCGGTTTGTTGCCAAACCCTCCACTGGCCCGAGTTAATGTTTGCGCCATCGGGTCCCATTCCCCTTTTCCCTTCCCACCCAGATGCTGCTCCTAAAGATGTCGATCCACACACTCGACGCGCTGACAATATACAATTTCTGCATGTATCGCCGTCGCCCCGCGCTTCAAGTCTCGACCCACATCACCATACGACCTTGCAACCGTTATTACTAGCTTATTTTAAATTGTAGATTTGACACATTGCAGTGAACCGTCAGACACAACTCCCAAAATACGAGCTAAGCATCGAAAAGCCCGACGCACCAGCACCCGACAAGCCGATGCTGCAAATCCCCTGCGTTGTCCCATCCTTAAATTTCTGCTCTGTTAGGCCCCCGCTTGCGGCGATCCCAAAAACTTTACTTCCACCTCCTTGTAGGATTACCATGTGGCTTCGTGCCGGACATGCGCACCCGGTTCGGCAATTATTTCCAGCAACCCTTTCCCTTTCGCTACTTGGTAACGCTCTGGACGCACAATATCCCATCCTCGTGCAACCCTTGAATGACCACCGCGACCCCACCTCCACATCGATGCGAGCGTCATTACCTCGAAACCCTCAACCCCCAAAGTCCCCTCGCGTTTCCCACGCAAATGCGCAAGCCTTTCTTGTGTTTGAAAACCCCCAACAGCCATCCTGGCCCCCCTACGCCCTGTCCTTACGCTCCATCCTCTTCTTACCTCGCTTCCTCTCCCAGCTGCGACACCTTAACCGTCGTGCTGCCTACCGGCAACCACCCTTTATCTCCTCCTCCTAGTCTCCTGCCTTATCCCTCCCTCTCCTCTCCTTTCCCCGCCTCCCCCTTCTCTTTACTGACTTCCCGCGCTTCAATAAGAGCCTCGCATTCCATTCCACCTTCCCAACTAAATTTTGTCGGGTTTAACACGGTCCCTCCTCCTCACATCGGCCCCTTAACTCCCGCCTTCTCTCCTCTGCTACGGCTCAGTGATGCGGTCTCCCGCGCCATGTTGGCCTGTCCTCGTGACCTGTTTGTGCCTCCGGCGCACCGCGGCGAAGCTCTGGCGGACCGACCCATCCGCGTGGCGGAGGCCGGGTTCAACATCTCCGCACCTCACGTGCAGGCGGTGGCACTGCAGGCCCTGGCATTGGACCAGGGGCAGAGGTGGGGTAGGCGAGCTGTGGAAGGTTGGAGGTTGGGTGCTGCTTTGGGTTCACCGCTTGCGGTTTCAGAGCAGGGCGGGGGGGAGAGGGGCAGCAGCAGTAACGTTAATCATGGTGGCAGTGAAGCTGAAGCTGCGGATAGGGGCGTGCTGGTTGCTATGATGACAGGCGATGAAATTGAAGAAGGGCGGAGCTTCAGCAGTAGTGGTTAGTTTGGCAGCAAGTGTGGTTCGTTTCATAATGCTTGATGTTCGCGACGTTGTTTTAACTGATCCCAATTGTCGACACTTCCACCTTCCACAGCTCCTCCGGGTCTTCCCTTCCTCGCCCTGCTGCCGTTGTGCTCTCCTTGCAACGTGGCATGATTCCCTCCTTTCCCCCTTTCCTCCTTTCCCTCTGCAGGGTTCTGGATGTGGGATGTGGTTGCGGCATCGTTACGGCCTATGCAGCATACCTGGTGAGGGAGGGCCGGGATGAGGGCCTCCGGGGACAGCGGAACAAGGGGCAACCAAAACACAGATGGTGCTGTGGTGGGCCAAGTGATTAGAAGTCAATGAACCAAGTGCCGACATCCAAGGTTGCTGGGGGGGAAGTGCGGGGGAGCGAGGATAGCAAGGGGGACCTGCGAGGTGGCGTGGTAGGATGGAGTGTTGAAAATCCTCCGAGCTGGGGTCGTGCCCTTACCTGACGCCCTTGGGTGGCGCCCTCCCTTTCCGAACGCACATACATACATACATACATACATACATATATACATTCATACACATACTAGGGTTTGGCACTACTGGTAAGGCGCGACCATTGCCCCCGGGAGATCCCGGGATCGATACCCATTAGGGTCAAAAGTCCTTCCGATGGTGGAAGGCATTGCGCCCCTAGTTGATGGACGGTGGTGACCTGGGATAAAGTTAACCCGCGAGCCGACCAGGAATGGAGTTGGGCCGCTGTCGACCCGGCAGATTCCGTTGGATGCTGGTGGTGGGTGCGGAACCTGAGCGATCCACTGAGAAGTTGACTAGGGTGACTGGCTGAGGGTGCCCCGAAATACCGGGGAAGGCAGGGTTTCGCAGGGTAGCTGCCACGGGCGAAGATACACCCCCCTGTTTCACACATCATACACATATACGGCCATATCATCCATCCTCACAACGTTTTACTCGCGCCGCGGTCTTTATGAAAATAAGCACACACCCTCATCCATGTTTATCTCCTCCCTCCCTCCCTCCCGCACCGGCGGCCGTGTCGCTCCAAGACTGGCTCTTCTGGCGATGTGGTGGGTATTGACATCCGCGACAGCGCCATCAACTTGGCCACGTCCAACCTGCAACGACTGATTGCGCACAACATTGAGTGAGTGAGTGTGTGAGTGAGCGAGTGAATGAATGAATGAATGAGTGGGTATCCTAGGAGCCTTTTTCCGCCTCCATCAGCACCACACCACAACATCCACCCATCCATCCACCTATGTTACCCATGCGCCCACTCATTCGCCCAACCACTCCTCCTATATGATTAAATCCAGTGGATCCTGTCACAGTGGATCCAAAAGTCGTACAAATGATTACGTATTGTTTGCATGCGTTGTAGTTTGGATGTTGCAATCCACCCTGGCTTCCTCCCTCCGGGGGATGGGAGACAAACCCCACCCAATCCCAAACAAACACGTCGGCAGTTGCTTTCCCCCTTGACATCCCCCTGCTGGGGGCTTAGGTGATGTATGTGGGCCTCCTTGACGCCGTACATCTGGGCCCCCTCCCCCCCAAAAACAAACAAACTCCACCTGCACAGGTTCTCAGAGGTGTCAGCGCCAATCCGCATCGAGCGACACAACGTGTTTATTCCCCTGCAGCGGCACCGGGGCAGATACGATGCGGTGCACGTGGGGGGAGCCATGCCGGCCAGCAGGCTGGGGGCGATACTGGATCTGCTGGGACCCAAGTGAGCGTGGTAGAGGTGGTAGTGGTGGTGGTTGGACATGGGGCCAGGAGAGGGAGCAGCTAGCCGAGAGAGGTCTTATAGAACATTTCTGTTATTTGGGGGGGCCGAGAGACACTCGGTATGGGTGTGTGGGGGTTGGGGTTGCGGGGAATTGGGGGTGGAGTTAATGCTTATTGTTCACTGTATTATTAATGGGTTAGTAATGGTTTATTGAGACCTCCCTGCCCCCGCCAGAGGTACGAACTATTCGTAAACCGGGTTCTTTGCATCCTGGATGTACCCATGATTACGCGCGTTTCCCGCCTCCTTTCCGTGCGGTGGTATTTTTGCTCCAGGGGAGGCCGCATCGTGGCTCCCATAGACAGTGAGCTACGACTGATATCCAAGTAGGTGGAGGGGTAGGGATGGGGGAGGTGTGTGAGGGCAGGTCAAAGAAAACACAGCCGTATTCAAATGTTGTTCAGACCTGGACGCAAATGCCCTTAGGGCCGATACGCGCCAAGGGTGAGGGAAGGAGCGGGGAACCAAGGGGGACAGGAATGTGCTTAGTAGAGGATAAGGGGAGATTGTGATTAGGGGAACAGAGCCACGGGAGGCGAGAAAAGTCAAACCAGCGGGAGATGGCGAGCGGGAATGGCCGGTACGAGGGGTTGGAGTAAGGCCAGGAGAAGGGCGTCAAGGGAAAATAGGGCTGGAGGGCTCCGAAATACGGTTTCACCTTCCATACGAGGCGAGAGCGGCAATAGGTCCACCGCGGGTGTGGAGACTCCTCTTGCTGACGAAGGTGCACGGATCGAGAGCTCCTCCACTCGTCCCCCCTGCATGCGAGGACGTGACGTGCGTCCTGCAGTCGGGCGTGCGGTTGCGTACCTTTCACCTTCCCATTTCTTGATACGATGAGTGAGTAAAGCAACCTTTCAGTCTTCTTGCCGCATGTATGCCCCTGTACGGCAGGTTTCCCGATGGAACTGTACGGCAGCGAGTGCTCAGCCAAGTGAGCTTCAGCGAGTTGGAGGTGAGGCGGAGGAGGGGATGGCGGAGGAGCGGAAAGGGTGTGCTTGTGTGTGGGGGGGGGGGTACCTGAGGTGGCTGGACGCGCAAGTGCTTCAGGCGCCTTGCCGCTTGCGCAGCGTCAAGTGTATGACTGTACTGTGTTGCTCTCTACCCCCGTGTCCCCGTGTCAGATTCCTCGTGATGTGGAGGTGGTTCGGGCCCTACTCGAGGAGCAGGCAGAGGCCGCCAGGTGAGGTGTGTGTGTGTGTCTCTGCACTATTTTCATCTGGCTGAGGCGCGAGGGGAAGATGTGTATGTGGGTCCCATGGCGGTGCAGTCTTGACGTACCAACCAGCCTTGTCCGTTGATGTGAGAGAGAGAGTGTGTGTGTGTGTGTGCTTAGGTGTTAACCGAGCCGCGAGTGAGCCGTGCGGACACAACGCGGCGAAAGAGAGTGGGCTCTGATGGGGCAGCGGGGTTCACAGCTGGGGAATGGAGAGGATATGTGCTGATGCTCACCGACCCCTTGCCTTTATGAGCGACAAGATAGTAAAAAGAAGACAGGGGGCGAGGAGGGCGATAGTGTGTGGAGGGCAAAACAGGTATCCACCGGATTTGGAAGCTGTGCCCTTGTATCGCTGTGATTGTCCAGCTACGGGAAGTAGATAGCCCCGCCCACACAAACTCGCACCGCAAGCAATGTCTGTGCCCTACATCACGTCACCGCGCCTCCGGTGCTATTTTTCTCTTTCCCCCCCCCCCACGCCCCTTGAGTCTGCAGATAATTCCCCCCTTCTTTACCCTTCCCTCCCCTCCGTCGTATCCCGAGGTCGCCGCCTTTAAGAACGCCTACTGGCCAGTTCTGCTCCTTGGCAGCAGCTTCACTCGTTCATGGTTCGTCTTTTCCCCCTCCGTCGTACGTATCCCCTTGCTTACCCCCTCGTTCTGTCTCCTCCCCGCCTGAACCCGCCCTCAGGCGTGTGGAGGTGCCTGCGTCCACCTTCGCATCTGACCTGGCGGGTCTGGGAGCTCCAGGGGTGGATCTACAGCAAGCGGCGCAGAAGGCAGCAGCCGCTGCGGCGCCGTGCTCAGGGCCGTCGTCGTCGTCATCGGGTGCAGCTGCTGCTGTAGGTGGTGGTACAGCTCCAGTGTCCGAATCCTCCCGTCGTGGAGCCACCAACGGTGTGAGGTGGGTGCAGGGTGGACGGTGTTAAGTGTTCGAATGGCTCAAGCACACCCTGTCTCGGGATGCGGCTGCTGGTGCTGCTGCTGGTCGCTTGTTTTTGCTTCACGATCTGTCAAACAACATATTATATGTCGCATTTGTACGTCCTGTTTATGTTGTTCTGGTTTATTGTGTGGACGTTTGTGGGTGCGTGCGACGAGACGCTCATTCCGCCCTGTTTTCACACATACCCCATTCCCAACCCTTACTGCTTTACGGCTTCGTTCTACTGCTTTTCTTCCGCTCTTATTCTTAGTCTTGGCGGCTAGGTAGGTAGGTAGGTAGGTTTCCGCGGTCGTCATCATTACATCATCCCGAGGTCGCCTCCTTCAAAACCGCCTCCTGGTTAGTTCTGTTCTTGCACACTCCTTTCTTGGCAGCAGCTTCAGTCGTTCGTGGTTCGTCTTTCCCCCAACCCCCACCCCCACGAAGTCCTGCTCCTCCCTCGTCTTTCCCCCCTCAGGCCGCGAAGTCAAAGCTCCCTGGAGGGCGACCACACCGGCCCCGCCACACTGCCGCCAGCACACCGGGCCAGCTCCAAGGGGAGCCAACTGACGGGGGAGGCGGAGACCGCCGCAGTCGGCGCCGGTGCCGCCACCTCCTCGGCCACCGCTGCTGGTGGCGGCGTGGGTGGCCACGTGGGGACCGGCCTTGCGTCTTTCGTTCAGAGAGCTGGTGTGGGCGGTTGGGGCTGGCAGTGGGAGCGGCCGGCACAAGCACGGACCAAGGCCAAGGGCCAAGACGACGAGGCGACGAGGCGGAGCGATGTGGAGATGGACGAGGAGGCTGGTGAGGAGAAGTCGCAGCGGGCAGCGGCGTCAGCGTCAGCGGAGGCGCCGGCGGGTGGGTGGGTGGTAGTGTGTGAGGTGGTAGTGGGTTGGGACATTTCCTCTGGGAGTTGAGGCTGCAGGGAGGGATGGCCCCAATGCTGTGCAGGCCCAGGGTTAAGAGGTTTATCAACAGCGTTTACGTGTTTGGTGTTGGTTACATACGTTGCGAAGCACGTGGGTCATATGGCGGAGGTGATCGCTCTCTGGGCAGGCGGGGCAGGTTCCCGTCAGAGTCATGACGAGGTGGGGGAGGTCGGGGGGTGGGGCCCCGCCAGCGGCAGCTTTGGTAAAGAGCGGGTGGTCAATGTTGTCAACTGTCCCATGGGTCGTGGATTGTACCGTGCAGGGCCCGTGCAGATGGAGAAGGCGGAGGAGGAGGCAGAGGTGGAGGCTCTGGAGCGGCGCGGAGGTGGGTCTGGCGACGGCGACGGTGACGGAGGCGGGTTGCCGTACCTTGCCGGTGTGGCCGAGGTGCTGTCGCTAGGCCCTACGGACTGCGAGCTGGAAGGTGATGGCTGGCGCCTCCCAGCACACAAGGCGGTGCTACAAGGTATGTGTGATTATGTATTGTACATGGAGGCATGTTTGGCTCAAGGGGCCCGAAATCAAACCCACCCACCCATCCCTCCCAAACGCGCACACCCGCGCCCACTCCTCTCTTCCCTGTTTGCAGCCCGCTGCGAACTGCTGCGCGCCCAGCTGAGCAGCGGCATGCGGGACAGCGACACCACCACCTACCGGGTACCTGAAGCGGTGGAGAGGAGAGACGCGGTGGAGGCTTTCCTTAACTACGTGTACAAGGTACGGGGCGGGGCTTTGAAATTTCGATGGTGGTCTCGGTGCGTGGGGTGTTTGGAATGCACAGCGGTCCGGGGGTTGTCTAGGGGTTGGAGAAGGGGGAAGAGTGTGTGCGGTATGTGTTGGAAACAACGGAAAAATGCATTCGCAGGCCAAGATGTCTGAAAAGCCTGAGATGCCAAAATCCTCAAGAGTCAAGTCCCAAGGGCAGCTATCCTAGGAACCTGCTGCAGCATACAGAAGCGTTGGTAGGTCGGTAGCGTCTCTTGGCATAGATAGGGGGGGCCGAAGATGGTTTAGCTCACATCAGTGATAAGGGCCCACAGCGAACAAGCCGCGTCGCCATGACTCGCGTCGTGGTGCATAGTACTTCGGTACTGCCGAAGGAGGTGTGGGATGTGATGCTGACAGACAGCAACGTCGGCACTCAGAAAAAGAAGCCCAGATGTGGCGGTAATCGGAGGCCGTCCTAGAGGCTGTAGATCTTGTGTGGTTGCAGCTGTGTGTGTGCTGTCTACGCAGGCCGGTTCAAGGTTACTTACTGAGCCTCTCTGTGGAAGCATCTGTAAAGGCCCACTCGCTTGTTCAGCCCCTACCTTGCTGCGCAGGCCCCCTTTCTCCTTCCTGATTCCGCCCCGCGCCTCGTACAATCCTTGCTCAGGACTGCTTACCAGATGATGTGGACATGGAGCTGGTCCCTCAGCTGCTACATGCGGGAATATACTTCGGATGCCACAGGCGAGTAGGGGGAGGGGAGGAGGCCGAGAGAGCCCAAGACACGCGAGCTCTCAGGTCTTGGAACGCGGCGGGGAGAGAGGAAGGGTGCGGCGAACCCCTGGACCGGGGCCGCTATTAACATGTCGCAAGTAACACCCTCCTTTATTCCTCACGTTGGCAGTTGGCTCTTCTGCAGTAAACTGAGCTCGCTTACTTGCTGCAGGAACAGGGGGTGTTCCTAACCCCTGTCCCTCCTTCCCTCCCACCCTCCTGCAGGCTCGTCCGCCTGTGTGAGTCCCTGCTGGCTCGCGAGCTGGTGGCGGCCGCCTCCTCCTCCTCCTCCCAGGATGCGGCTGCGGGTGCGGGTGCGGACCCCGAGCTTCTTGAGGCAGCAGTGGCGGCTGCGGGGCCGCTGCTGGCCCTGGCGGACGAGGGCGGACTGGACCAGCTGAGGAGGGTGGCCATGCAGTTCGTGAGTGGGAGTCGACCTGGGTGTGGGCGGCAGGGGGAGAAGACCCTGGACTTGTGTCCCTCACACACCCTGAGGTCAGAACAACCCTAAGTCATTCATTCGCGGTGGTGATTGGGAAGAGGCGGAGAGGGTTTTAGGATTGTGATGCTGCCAGACCTTGAGGGGGGAGGCCTATCTCCGCTGCCAGTTTCCTGCTAAACGCCATCATTACACGCGCGCATGCAAGCTGTTTGCCGCGCTTTCCGGTCCCTTGCTTTGTCGGCCTGGAATACCTAATACCTTGTAACATATACTCTCCCAGTTTTGCATGCCGCACATGATTCCGCGCCGCCTTTTAGGCGATATGGGGCACGGGGGTTTTATTGCATGAATGTTTCCGCCAATCTCTTCCCCTTACTTGCCATGGGGATCCCTCAACTCGTAAACCTCGCATCCTACCCCGCCTGCCCTGCCCTCCCCTCCCACTACCGTCCCAACCCCGCACCATACAGGTCTTGGACCACTTCCCCGCCGTATCCGTCAGTGAGGGCTACCGGCAGCTTCCCCGGCCGCTGGTGGATGAGGTGGCCAGGGAGGCACTGGCCCGGTACAACTCCCTGCTGCAGCAGCTGGCGAAGCTTGGTGACACGACTCAAGGGCTGGAGGATGCGGACGACTAGGGTGGAGACATATATACTGGTTCGGGCTGGGGGGGGAGAGATGAGGCGAAGTCCATCGGGTTGGGGTAGGAGAGTGCGCTGTGGTGGGTCCTGGAGCATCCAAATACCTGGAAGACGTGGCGGTACGACAGACGTGGCGGTACGACAGGAAGAGGTGCGTCCAAGGTTCCTAGGGTTGGAGATGAAGGGAATGGACCCTTGCGGCGGACGCCATTTACGGAGGGGGGGAGAAACAGCGCCATTTCCTTTTGTCGTCTCCCTGTCGCAGCGATCTGATAGGAAGGCCGGGAGCTGATAGGAGGGCCCGGGCTAGGCGCCAGGGCGGAGCCGGGGCTTGATGCGTTTACCTGGGGGGGAGCGGGTGGCTCTGGGTTCAGGCAGCCTCTCGTGGTCCTTACGGGAGAACTTACGGGAAGGCGCCAGTGCGCCACATCGCATGTTACGAACGTCTGTACCGCAATGTAGTATGTACAGTAGCTGTGCATAAAGATTTCCCGTTTGTGTTGTTGGCAGGCGAGTCGGCTGCATCCCCATTTTTATCGCAGCAATGGCCGGATTCGGTTGTGGAATGAGCTTCGCACCGGATATAGGTGGGCTCCGGCCTGGTGGCTTTATCCATAATCCTGGAATAGGACAAGAGGACAGTTGCCGGCGTTTGTTGGTTTGTGCATTTCCTGGTAGTGGCAGGGTGGCTAGCTGCTTTGCTTCAAGACGCTGACGTCTGTGTCTAAGCGGTGGTGATGTTGGGGTCCTGTACAAGGCGGGGTCGTGACGTGGCGGCGGAGGGAAGGCCCTGGGGCCCCTGGCGGCGGAGGGAAGGCCCTGGGGCCCCCTACCGGGCTTACCCCTGGAGGTGAAGGTATGGGCGGCCGCAGGTGGCCGGGGTGGCAGTGCGGCAGCAGGCGCATCTCCCGAGGATGTACATTAGATATCGGTTGCTGTACTCGTCGTGTTGATGAATGTGTTTAGGTTTATGAATGCTTGAAAGCCCGTATGTTGCTTCGTTTTCTCCTGCGCCCGGAATACATTCGCGGCTGGCGTGCTAGCAGGTTGTTGCAGCATATCCACTGAAATATAAATAAACGTAATTGGATTAGGAATAAAGGTTCAGATGGCCAGGGCGGCCGAGTAACGCACTGTTTTCATGCATAGCCAGAGGTCGCCTGAGAAAGCAACTTAGGCGGCGGAGGGGGGTGGGGGGTACCAGGCAAGGGCAGCGTCCGGACATGTGATGGTTACGCAAAGGGGGATGTACTGGATGTGACTGGGTGCAGCTCTGCTTAGGTGGAGGGCTCTGTGCGCTGTAGGCGGTGGTATTGACTATTGACATTGCAGTAGAGCCCCCGGGCACCTCGCCATCTCCACCAGCACATCTCGGTACTGCACCTGGTGCTGGCGCCATGGGAGGGGAGGGGAGGATGGTCGAAGGAGTGGTGGAATGGCGCCGGATGCGGGCTGGGTGGGTTGCGGTGGCGGCGTGGCGTGAATCGCTGCCGGGAAGCCAGGGGGGAGCTAGTGGTGGTGTGGAGCGGTTTTCATTACAGTGGTGGCTCTGCCTGGCCTCGTAAGGACTCCGAAGTCGAGCCGGTCCGTCCTCTGCACAGCTGACCCTTTGAAGGGGCCTCGCGCGTGTCGCGCGTCTCTTCTCTTGGCGGAGGAGGGGAGGTGGAGGGAGATGCAGATGCGCGATACTAGCCGGGTTCCTCCGCTCCACTGTACGATGTTTTCCATTGGAAAGGTTGGGTTCTTGTAACAGTTGTCAGATGGCAGTTTTCTTGATGTTGATGTACTTAAAAAGGCGGGAACTGCCATTGCGCGCCGAACTCCCTTCTTTCATACCCAAATACCCAAATCGAAATCCATGCCCCTTCGCTGGGGCCGAAGGGTGCTGCAGAACAGCATGCATGCACGAAGGCATGTAGGCACGCAGAGGAATTGAACTCCTGGTATTTTTTTCGACGGAGAGGGGCCTTCGGCTGAGAAGCGCAAGCGGCCTGCGCGATGCATAGGTTCGCTGGTTGCTGCTGTAGGTGCTGCTGCCGGAGAGGGGCCACTCTCGTGTTAGAACTGGCGCAACACCAAGAAGACGAATTAAAGTTCAAGGATGCTACTGAAACACAACAAGTCGTGTGAATATCACATTCCAACGCGGCGTATTCGTCCCTCCTCGCATCCCACAGAACGGACGAAGTTGACGCATGCCGCGAAGGATGGCTTTGAGAACTTGTGCTTTTAAGGTTTCTATGAACCATGGGGATAAAGCGCATGGCATACAGGGTTTCCTAACGCAAGCACACTTCTCAGGACGTGGCCTAACGGCAGATGGTGGCTCCTCAAAAACAAAAGTAACCGGTTCTCTACATAACTCACAGTAAATCAATAACCCAATTCCTTTGCCATTATCCCGTTATGGTGTTAACAGTTCATGACTCATACAAGGTCCGAGCAAACGCAAATCTACAAGGCTTAATCTGCTCACAGTGCTTAAATCATCACAAAATTGGATTTGCCATGTTCGTTCGCAATACTTCCTTGATAGCCCAAAATTGTCTATGCGAATGACGATGCACATGATCTGCTTCGTTTTGTAGCCATGACTTAAAAAGGGGCTGGAAGGCCGCCCCATCACAGCTTACACTTTCCCTTTAGGTATGGCTGATTCAGAGCAGCGTGGCCAGGGCAGCAGCCTTGGCTTCTGCGGTGGAGGAGTAGTTGCATGCCAATTAGCAGCAATCAACCGGCAAACTGTTACTTCAACGCTCCTCGGCGTTCCTCCGCACACAATTACTTCTTACCGGCACCTCCAGGGTTCCCAGCAGCGGCGCAAGAGTGGCCGAGAGCGTTTGCACCAAGCAAAGAGCTACCGGCCATACCTGCGCGCCGCGGCCACATCAGCCGCAACTTCCGCTTCCCGCGGTGGCCCTCCTACCCGTGATGGCCTCTCTGAGGAAATCAGAAAGTGGCAAACCCTTGCAAGCGTAGGGGAGATGTGCCGCAAAACTCGGAGGAAGATCTTGGTAGCACGGCAGCGCCAAATTGGAAATTTGCAGCGTGGCCTATCGGCAACGAGTGGCGCACGTGCTACGGCCACGGCCACGCCTGCAGAACTCGTCCTTCTCGCCCTCGAGGAAAAAAAATTCACTATCATGAGGGAGCATTTGGCGCACCTAATTTCAAACTTCGACGTGTACGACATGGCTGTCCAACTGACGGCGCGTGTCGCTGAAGGCACTGGCGGCAGCTGCAGCGGCGCGGCCAGGTGGCCGCCACCCCCTGGGCCTTCTGACTCCCTCTTCCAGGTCCTGATTCCAAATGAGGTGAGGTAGGGGTCCGGGGGAGGCGTCGAATGGACGAATCGGGGGGAGGGGCTGGCCGGACATGGCGGTAGCCGCCATCGAGATGTGAACCTCAACTCCGACCTGAGTGCGCATACACCTACACATTCCCGCACATGGCCACGAGCGGATGTGCACTCCGGTGCCATTTCCATAATGTCGCGACACAGCGCAGAACGCTCTTTTTTACAAACATGTAAGGGACGTCACCGAAATCTGACTGCAGCAGCAGCACTCACTGACCGTGCTGCTTTTGGGGCCTTGTGTGCTTTGTGCACTGCATGAGCCCCGCATGGCGTCACTCAGTGGCCATCGGTCACCACTGTTGCCAGCTCCGCCAGCTCTACCTCCTCGGCCTCGGTCTCCGTGTCCAGCAGCGTCCGTACAGCTACCGGGGTGGGAGCCGACGCAGCCGAGCTGTGGGCTTCGTCGCTTCCCTCGCGGGTGATGGCGCTGTTCATCGCGACCATGCAGCTGGTGGAGCTGGCCAAGGAGGATTACTTGGGTGTTGACAGCGATATGGAGGAGGCAAAGGAGCAGGGGGAGGGGAAGGAGGGGCGACAGCGGTTGGCGGCTCTTACGGGGCGGCGGTTGTTGGACCAGGCGGTTGTACTGCTGGACGCGCTGGTCAGGTATTGCGGTACGACCTTTGGGCGGCTGTGTATGGGCGGGAACGGGCAGGGAGAGCTGTCTCAATTAGCAGTGGGGGGCCGGGGGGGTTGGGGGAGCTAAGTAGGGGGGAGCAGGGGAAAAGAGGGGGGAAGGGGCGCGGGGCGCAGTACATCACTTAAGGTTGGCCCAGCACAGCTCGGTACGTCACTGCCGCACATACTGCATGTTCGTACTCTTCCCCATCCGCATGTGCCCCCTGCCACGTCCGCAGGTGGCCCCTCCCTGCTGTACTCGGAGCTCGAACTGCTGGCCTACCTCGTGTACGGGACGAAGGTGGGGCCCCGGGGCGGAAAGGAAGAGGAAAAGGGGGGGAGGGAACGGGGCCCCGGGGCGGGAGGAACTGCATCGTGTGTCTGCTGTGTTTGCGTGTGCACGCATGCACGTCAGCAGCACCGCGACGCGTGTCAACTTAGTGTTACCTCCGCCTTCTCCTCCCCCCACCCACATTGCCATCCCCTCCCCCCTCCCCCCTCCCCCCAAACGCTCGCACATCCGGCGCGACGGGGTGACACCAGGACGCGTTCAGTGACACAGAGACCCTCCTGGACGCTGTCGGCGCCGTAACCAGCCGTACGGCATCCTCCTCATCTTCCGCCGCCGCCGCTGCTGCCCCGCCGCCTAAGGCTGTCCTCACCTCCGTCGCAATGCTGTGCCGTGTAGCGCGCCGTATAGCGGTGATGGCGTCTCCGCCGTACCTGCGACGCATCTTGCACATGGGTACGATGATTTCGTTTATTAAGTTCATTGAAGACGCGCCGGTGTCCGGGGACGTGGCGTCAGCGGCGATGGAGGCGGTGGGGCGGGCGCTAGGCAAGGCTAGCGTGCGTTTGCGTCCGTTTGACAGTCGGCGGCGAGTGCTGGATGCCATACGCACGGAAGCGGCGGAGGCACTGGAGCAGCGGAGGCAGCGTACGGCAGCGAGTGCACCCCCGGGACGGGAACACGACAGCGCGGGGGCCGCTCTGCAGAGCCTGCTGTCCAGTGTGCTGGGTACGCTACCTGAGACGGTTCAGTCGGTGTGGGACGCGGAGGGGCGGAGGCGAGCGGCAAGAGCAGGAGGGCGCGACGGTGAGGCGGCCGCCGGCGATGATGAGGATGGGGACGACGTGTTGAAGCTACACGGCGCTGCGAGGGACGAGCAACTGCCCGTACGACGGCGCATGGCCAGGTTGCTCCTGGATTTGGCTCAAGGGGTGAGGGGGCTGACGCCGGGGTGAAGGAGGGGGAAGGGGGGGGAAAGGGGGAGGAGGGGGAAAGGAGGAGGAGGGGAAAGGAGGGGAAGGGGCGAGGGCTGACGGGGCTGGGGAATGCATGGTCGGTACGGGGCCCAGTTAGAGTTGGGATATGGTTGAGGATTGTGGTGTTTAGGGCTGCTGTATGGCGATAAGCAACAAACCACCAACCACCACCAACGAATGAGCCCATCACTTGCAACACGCACCCTCGGCCCTGTGTACGGCACCTCCATACACGCACACACACGATCCATCCTACCTCCGTTTTGTGTACCCCCCACCCGGCGGGGCCTGTTGTCGCCCCGCAGACCCTAGGTGGGTTCAGGATGTTGGTGTCCGGTCGTAACGCCATGTCGTACACGGCTGTCGTCGCTGCCTGCGTAAGCCTCTTGAACGGGAGGACGGTGGAGGCCCTTGGCCGCCTCCTGCAGGACGGCGGCGAGGGCGCCGCTGAGGCTGGGGCTGAGGTTGCTGCCGCGTTGGCTGACGCGCAGTCCGTGTTCGAGGACAGCAGTGCTGGCGGTCGGGCACTGGGCCCCGTGACGATTCAGACGATCGAATCTAGAAAGCTAACCGATATCGTGGCCGCATCTGGCCAGGTGAGAATGTACGATGTGGCGGGTGGGGTCATAAGGCCGCTGAGGTGTGGCGTACGGCAGCAACGGCAGTGGAGCCCGCGGCTTCGTTTGTACGGCATCGGACGTGCCTGTGCCGACGAATGTGTCCCGACATGGACAGATACTGATACAGTTTTACACTTATGAGGGGGTTGTACTGAACTGCCCGTACAGGGTGGCGACAAATGCGTCCTCCTCTTTGTTTGTATGTATGTATGTATGTATGTATGTATGTATGTATGTATGCATGTATGTATGTATGTATGTATGCATGTATGTATGTATGCATGTATGTATGTACGTGTGCAGGGTCGTCACGTACCCCACCCCGGGAGCCCGGGGGACCGCGGCGCAGGAGCTGCTGCTGCGGCCGTCGGCGACCCGGTTGTGATGCTGGAGGTACGGCACTCCAACGCGGTTCTTTGGGCCCTATGCTTTGATTTGGCGCCAGCGATGCTGGAGTCAGCAATTGCGGTCAACGGCAATGAGTTCACGGAGTGAGTGTACGGAAAACAAAATGGGTCGCAAAGCTGTGAAGAAATTCATTTGTGGTGGGGCAGCAGAAGCGGATGCTATGTATTCACTGTACGGCAGTACAACCTTTCCATTGTTTGTTTTTCCGGAACAGGGCGGCCTTCTTCAACTGGTACGGCAGATACTTACCAGTGGCCCGGGACTCCGCCTTACGAATCTGCACGTCGCATAGTGATCCTAAACCCTAAGCTTGGACCCCGAGTGGGCGTTACTTGTTAGTTACAGACAACCGACAACTCCTATAAGTGTTCGTGTGCTGTTCGGTGTGATTATGCATAGCAGTGGGGATAGCTGGCGCGCCTTTTCGGGAAGCCTGCAGCGGCGTCTGGATGAGCGGCACGCTGCAGTACTGCACCCCCTGCCGAGTACGGCCCGCGGCGCGGCGCGAGCGGGGGGTACGGACATGGCGCTGGCAGCACTTGCCAAGGTATGGCAGAGCCAGCGCATGTACGGCATGTATGCGGCACTGCGCATGCCGATCCGTCTTTCCGGTTGGCTGTTTTCCGTTACTGCTGTCTTGTTGTTGTTGTTGCTGCTGCTGTTAGCAGTAGTGGTAATGGTGGTGGTGGTGGTGGTGGTGATGGTGCCGCGAGGTGGCCTGAAGGTGGGGGCACCTCCCCTCCCCTCCCCCTGCCGTCCCGTGGTACTTTCTTGTCGTCTTGCAACGCCCGCCAGCTCCCCCCCGTAGCTCCTCAACAGCTCACCGCACCTCATAACGTCAGGTCACCTCACTGTGCTCATCCCCATATCTTCCCATATCTCCCCCATCATGTCCTGCACTCCCCCGCGCCCTAAGTTCCGCACCGCCTGCGTGGCCCAAGGCCGGGACTTCATTGTCGTACCCATCGTACGTCCCGTACTGGCCGGAGGGCCGCTAGATGACCCGCTTGCTGCCTACGAGTTTCGTGTGCACACCGCCGTGGCGCGTAGAGAGGAGTCCCGGAGCGCTGTCCCCTCCACGACACCGACAGCATCACGAAGTGGAGGTGCAGGTGGAGGTGAGGATGGGCTGGGTGGGGCAGGGAATGAGGGAAAGGCGGAAAAAGGAGAACAATGTCAGGAGGCGGTAGATGGAGCGAAAGGGGAGGAGGGCGTTACCTCAGAATAACGCCCGTACTGTGTCGTATACGTGCTGTGCCACAGGTACGATGGGTGGCAGCGGGTCGGAGGCGGGAAAGGATACGTACGATGACGATGATGACGGGGGCCGCGGCGGCGGCGGGGGCGGCGGCGTGGGGCCAGGTACCCCCCAGCTCGCTGGGGGAAGCTGCGGGCTGTCAGGGCGGGGCGGGAGGGGGAGGGGGAGGCGGCAGGACCCCATTCCCGACGTGGTCAAGCCCTTTGACGATGGCGATGATTCTTGTGGATCAAGAACCGCGGCCACTTCCACCTCCTCCTCCTCCTCGTTCTCCCATCGCGAGCGGGTCAAGGGCCCACAGGGGGTTCGTTCGGAAAGCAGCAAAAGCGCCAGCAGCGGCGCCAACGGCGATAGCGGCAGCTACAGCAGCAGCAGAAGCTCCGCCACGACTTGGTCCTACCCGACATCCGCGGCGCCAACAGAAACCGAAACCACAAGCGCAACCGCCACAACCACTTTCCGGCTCCGTACTCACTGGCGGCAGCGCCGGGCGCACGCGGTCAACTGGGCCTTGTGCTGCTGGCTGGGCCTTACTGACCCCAAGCAGAATGAGCTGGACCAGGAGCTGGCGGTCCACTGCGGCCTTTCTGGCAGCCAGGCTGGCGCCTCCGCGGAGAGCCGCGCCTGCAGGAAGTTGTTGGAGGGGGCGCTGGCCGGGGTTACACTGGACGAACGGATACTGGTTCCGGAGCGGCTGATTTTGTTGGTTCTTGAGTGCCAGTGCGGGCACCCCGAGCGGGTGCTGGTGTTGCCGAATGCGCTGCCGGGGGCGTGCGAGAGGTGAAGGATAAGGTGGGAGTTCAGGGTGCCCTGGTTAGGGGGGTGGCGAGGACCTGGAGGGGGTGTGAGGGGGCCGCTGTTAGAGGAGGCGGAGGCGGTAGGGGGGCCGGTCAACAGCTGTGATGGGGCTGCGGCTTGAGTGCGTGCGTGCTTTTGTTGTTGAATGATGCTCAGGTGTGGGGGTGTGAGTGTCACTGGTCTGCTGCTACGGCTGCTGCAACTGCTGTGGCTGCAGTGGCGGCTGTGCGTTACCTGCGGGGCGTGTGGGTTTGCGATGCTGTGCGGTGCGGCGCGTTAGTCCCTGCACTGACCATTGCCGAAACCTGCGTCCAGGTTGGGGGGGAGGGATATTGACATGGGGCAGATTGCCTAGTACACGGATATTGCACACGTATCTTCTGTTACTGACTCCACTTGCTGCAGCTATTTGCGTGGTGGTCGTGGTGGTTGGCGAGCGTGTTGCTGCATTGGTTGCGAATTTGCGTGTCGGCCGGGTAGCGCGTACGAAAATTGTCGGATAAGTCGACGGACGCGAACAAGTCAGTGAATAATTGAGTGAATGCGTCCTCCTCTATGATTACGAAGGGACGAATATGCAGCCATGATAACGACGTAGCGGGAGTGTAGGCGGTGTACCGGTTTGCAGCTGTCGAAGGGGAGGGAGAGGGGGTCCTGGCGTCGGGTTGGAAAAAGGGGGTTTGCGGGGAGACCTCGGGTGCAGGTGGGGGTGGAGGTAGTGCGGCCGGCAGGGTTACGAGGCGCAGGCCGGTTTCATTGATGGCAGTCCATGGGCAGCGGTTTTTTGTCAACCTTTCGGCGATGATGCCCGCAGCATGGGATGGCTGGCTGACAGTGAGGGTGGGATTCCGAAGGTTGACGCCGGGGCCCGAGAGCGCAACACAAGGACTGGATTTGCCGGCCGTGGCGAGGGCCTGCCTTAATAGGATCCCGAGGCCTAAGCGTTGTTAGTCGGAAACACAGTTTTTTTAATTCTCTATGACTACAGTGTTCTCCGAGGGACTTTGGATTGCTGCTGGCAATAAGATGCAAGCATTGTGCAGGCGTACGTGCTTTAGTCATGCATATTGTGATCTAAACCGTTAACGGCCACTTGGCTGCCCATAATGCCGCACAGTCTGTGATTAGATTATATTGTCCTATTGGACGCCAGTTTCGTAGGGCCTTGAGACCAATTTTCCTTATCACGCAGCAGGATTTGCCCATGCGACATTATCTCGGAATTTTGGGGCAGGACATGCCGAAGATGCACTCATTAATCCATTTACCCTACAACGCAATTATATACGTGCTGTAAACCGGCTGTAGGAAGTTGGTATTCGTTCTCGGGACCGACAGATGGCGGGCTCAGAGCTTGGTGGTGCAGCTGGCGACGGCCGCCTGATCAGCACGAGAGGTGTAACAGCTCAGCTATCTGATATTCAGCGTCAAAACGCCCTAGCGGCGCTCCTGGGCGTTTCCCGTCTTGCCCTATCAGGCCGTCGACATCGGGAGGGCCCGGACCAGCTTCGCAAGGGCGGCCGGGAGCGCTTGCGGCAAGCAAGATGCTATGCGCCGCATCGTCGGGCTGCGGCCACGTCGGCCGCAACATCTGCATTTCGTAAACGGGACAAATTGATCATGGAAATTGAAGAATGGAGAAAATTTGCATGCCTGGAAAGGTTATACAGCCGAACTAAGTACCAATTATACCTTGAATCCCAGCAGCTGGCGGCGGACCTGTCGGGACGCAGGCGTCCAAATGGTGCCACCCATGCGGAGCCTGGCTGTGCTGAGAACGCGAGGTCAAAAGAGGACGATGTTTTGGCTGCCACGGCGCAGTCGAGGCACTTAGTTGAGCTGGGGCGGCGCCTGCACAGCACTGCGTTGGGTTTGGACGTGTACGGCATGGCAACGCAGCTGCTGGCACTTACCACTGCTGCCGCAAAGGGCCCCGCCCCGCCTACCACCTTTGATTCTATATTTGCGTTCTACCAGCCGGAGGCGGTGAGTGCGCCTAGGTGGGGCGGCAGTGCGGGGGGGCCGGTAAGGTGCCGCTGCAGACGATCCAGATTAAGTCCCGAGTCCGCATAATGCAATGTTGTTGTGCTTTCTGTTCCGGATCCCAAGGCGTGGCGCCCCTTGCCCGACTCACCAACCACGGTGATCCAGACCTCTCAGCTCTCCCCTCTCAGACCGGTTTACAACGGGCAAATGGAGTCACTGTATCCGCATTAGAAGTCCTTCTCCACGGGCTCGTCCCAGCCCCTCACCCCTCACCCCTCAACCCCCCTGCACGCAAACACAACTCAGGACGACCAGCAAAACGGGCACCTGCCCTCCTGCACATGATCATCAGGATCATGATCATCCAGAACACCGTTTGGGTATTTACTTACTTCAATATGCCGTACAGGTTCTCTCCTCCGTGAGCACCACGAACACCGCCAGCGCCTCCGCCGCCAGCTCTACCTCCTCGGCCTCGGTCTCCGTGTCCAGCAGCGTCCGTACAGCTACCGGGGTGGGAGCCGACGCAGCCGAGCTGTGGGCTTCGTCGCTTCCCTCGCGGGTGATGGCGCTGTTCATCGCGATCATGCAGCTGGTGGAGCTAGCCAAGGAGGATTACTTGGGTGTTGACAGCGACATGGAGGAGGCAAAGGAGCAGGGGGAGGGGAAGGAGGGGCGACAGCGGTTGGCGGCTCTTACGGGGCGGCAGTTGTTGGACCAGGCGGTTGTACTGCTGGACGCGCTGGTCAGGTATTGCGGTACGACCTTTGGGCGGCTGTGTATGGGCGGCGGGCAGGGAGAGCTGTCTCAATTAGCAGTGGGGGGCCGGGGGGGTTGGGGGAGCTAAGTAGGGGGGAGCAGGGGAAAAGAGGGGGGAAGGGGCGCGGGGCGCAGTACATCACTTAGGGTTGGCCCAGCACAGCTCGGTACGTCACTGCCGTACATACTGCATGTTCGTACTCTTCCCCATCCGCATGTGCCCCCTGCCACGTCCGCAGGTGGCCCCTCCCTGCTGTACTCGGAGCTCGAACCGCTGGCCTACCTCGTGTACGGGACGAAGGTGGGGCCCCGGAGCGGAAAGGAAGAGGAGGAAAGGAAGAGGAAAAGGGGGTGTGTGATGATCACTGGTGTCCCAATGGGGTGCTTGTCTCGCTGTCATCGCGGCGTGTGTTTTTAACGAACACATTTCCATTCTCCATCTCCCCTTCCCCCCGGGGCGCTTCAATACCCCCCCCCAAATAGCAACACGCCACCTCCCCCTTGACCTCCCCCTCAACCCCTTCCTAGGAAAGCTTCGCAAATGACAACGTGTTTCTGGAAGCCGTCGGCGTGCACCAGAACTGTGGCGGCGCCGCCGGTTGTACGACATCCTCATCCACCGCCGCCGCCACCCCTCCCCAGAAAGCCGTCCTCACCTCCGTTGCCGTGCTGTGCCATGTGGCGCGCCGTATCGCGATGACGTCACCTCCGCTGTCCTTGCCGCGGGCCACTCAGATCGGTTCCTGGCGGATTCCCGTCACGCGGGCTGTTGAGGTACCGCTGCCGGACTACCTGGTGCGCAGGGTGACGGCAGATCTGGGCCGCGTGATAGGACATGCTCTCGCGCACTTGCATACCGCCGACGCCCGGCAACAGGTGCTGGATGTCGTACGACGGGAAGCGGCGGAGATGCTGAACCGGCGGCGGCAGGCCTTGAATGCGCGGCCTGCGGGGACGACGGTCGGCGACGGCGGCGGCCTCTCAGAGGCCACCCAGCGCTGGCGGCTGCTGAAGCAGCAGCAGCAACCGCAGGATAGAGGCGACGACGAGGGAGGCGGCGGCCGTGGCGGCGCATTGGGCGCTGCAGCGGGCAGCAACGTAGTCCGCGTGCAGCGGCTCGTGCGGGAAATTGATGAGATTGAGGCGGCTATGTCCGTTGCCGTGCTGCTGCATAAAATGCTGGGTACGCTACCTAAGACGGTTCAGTCGGTGTGGGACGCGGAGGGGCGGAGGCGAGCGGCAACAGCAGGAGGGCGCGACGGTGAGGCGGCTGGCGGCGATGATGAGGATGGGGACGACGTGTTAAAGCTACACGGCGCTGCGAGGGACGAGCAACTGCCCGTACGACGGCGCATGGCCAGGTTGCTCCTGGATTTGGCTCAAGGGGTGAGGGGGCTGACGCCGGGGTGAAGGAGGGGGAAGGGGGGGAGGGGGAGGAGGGGGGAGAGATGCGGGTCGGGGTTTTGTCGACACAAATTGCGGGATGAGGGGTATGCTCGCAATCGATGTGTGATCCCACTGCTACTTGCACAACCACCAACCGCCAACTAACTAACTTCCTTGCCGGTCTTATCTCACTGCCACTTTCATCTCTCCTCTTCTCAAACCCCCGTAACGCTGCGCAGCGGCGCAAGACGGTGGTGGCGGACGGTCCTGGCGCATTGTCGTGGATTCTCTCAGCCGCCGCCGTATTGGGCCGGTTTAACTGGGTGACGAGCAGGACTATAGCAGGTTGCGGCACCTCTGGGGGCGCTGGCGGCACTGCCGCCGCCGCCGCCGCCACTGGACCTGACGGCGCCGGAGACCCGGAGCCGCGGGCTGCCATAGCGGCGGCAACGGCGGCGCCGCTGTCGTCGCTGGACTTCGGTAGGTCTGTAGGTGACTTCACCACTGCGGGCCTGGGGCCGGTGATGCTGGTGGATCTGAAGGTTTCGGAGCTGCGGCGGCGGCCCCAGGTGAGGTGATCTGGATTCGTATCCACCGGCGGGGTATTCGGAGAAAGCGCCTTCGGGTTGGAAGGGGGGGTGGGGGAGAGGGGAGTTCAGGCTGGTGAGTGAAAAGGGGAAGCCCTTAGCATAAGCATTTGCATGATGTTGTCAAGCAAAACAAGGGCCCCCCCACCCCACCCCACCCCGCACCCCGCACCGCACGGCAGCAGCGGCACAGGGAGCCACTTTCCTGAGGGTACCGAATAATCGAATTGACTAGGAGGAGGCGGAGTTACCCTCTTGTCTGTCGATATGTCTGTCTATCTGTCTATTTGTCTGTCTATCTGCCTGTCTATCCGTCCGGTGTTTATTCCGGCCAACTGCTCTCGGCTATGCGTGTTGTTGCTACTGCGACCATTGCGCACCCCCCCCGGAGGCGTCGTTCGCAATAGCGCAATTCCACTACTGCCGTTGTCGCTGTTACAGTGCGGCAAAGGCGGGGGAAAGGGGGGAGTCATCATACGCACACACTGATGCAAAGAAATAAATGATATACTGCTCAAGTCGGGGGGGAGGGGCAGGGGGGCCGCATCACGTCAGGGACCGGTGCCTGAGCTCCCACTCCTGCTGCCGCAACCGCCACCGTCTACTGGAACTAGCGCAGGGAGCGGAAGGCGAGTCCAGTACCGAGGCTGCTGCAGCTGGCGGCAACAACAGCCATGGCATTTCTGCTGCTACCGTTCCTGCCGTACAGCTGGGTCTGAGGCAGGGCAGCGTGGACCTTTGGGTGCCCTGCACTGATGTACGGCAGCTGGGGACCCAGTGCACGGTTTGGTTCCAGGGGGATGAATTGGAAAAGTGGGTGGATGGTCGCGGGGGTTGGGGGGGTTGGGGGGTGGGAAGGATGAGGGGGTGGGACTGTTGCCTGTGACGTCCGTCCCGTGCAGCTGTGTGTGGTGTCTCCCTCCCTCGGGAGTCCCCCCCCAAAACACACACACACACACCTGCACCTGCACCCACATTCCTCTCCCACTCGGGCCCTACCACCACCACCACCTAAACTCTAACCGTGTCCCGTCATGTACTGCCGCCGCTGCTGCCGCTCGCACTCATTGGAAATGCTGTTTCTTGCGGCTAATGGTACGTAATGGTTGCGTGCTGGTCCTGACGTGTCCGTACTGCGTACGGTGCCCTGTGTACGACAGCCGTGCTTCTTCTCGCCGCTTTGCGAGGGAGCTGCAGTGGAAGCTGGACGAGTGGCACGGCGCGGTGCTGAGTCCTTTACAGGGAGCAGGAGGGGGAGGGGGAGGACTGGATGCGCTGCTGGCCGTCCTGGCCCAGGTAAGGCACTGTCGAGTTTTAATGTTCCTGTACGGCGTGGCGTACGCTTGGTGTGATGTCGTATTGTGTGTCGTACCGTGAGGCTATCTGACAGCTCGACGGCACACCCATGCACCTATGCACGCAATGTCCCTCCTCCTCCGGGAGGTGTGCTGCCTTCATTTCCCCTTCACCGCTGGACCTGAATCCGTGCTCACAGCTGGAGCCGTAGGCCGTGTGCGTGTGCCATTTCCCCCGGGCCTCTCCCCATCCTTGAACCCCACGGGTCGCTCGTGTCGCCACCAATGTGTATTTGAGATGACTTGCACTGCGCTGAGCTGCGACGGCGCCACCTAGGGTGAAGTTCGTTGCGTCGTTCGTGGTTGTGGTTGCGATTGTGGTGGACCCTCATTTCCGCTGTGTGACGGCCGCCGCTCACTTTTCCTTCCCAAACCCTCGGCCGTTTTTACTCCTTGCCGTACACTGCTCCTTTCTTAACTTTACTCTCCTCTGTTGCTGTTGCCATCCATCTCCCACTGCTAACCCCCGAACGCCGTCTCGTTGGATTACGACTTGCGGCAGGTTCGCACGCAGTTCTTGGATCGAGGCCGGGACTTCGTTGTCGTACCTGTCGTAGAACCGCTTCCGGCCGAGCAATCCTGCATGGACTTGCTTGGGCCCCTGGAGGTTCGCTTGCGGGGGGCCATGGTCAGCAGGGGGGGGCCCCCGGCGGGGAAAACACACGGCGCAGAGGGAGAGGCGGCAGCAGCAGCAGCAGCAGCAGCTTCGCGCAACGGGAAAGCGGTCTACGGGGACACGCCCAAAGTCAGCATTAGCGCCGCCGCCCCGGCCCCGACAACCACCACAACTGCAGCCTCGACCTCGCCCGTGGTGCAGCTTCGTCCTTACTGGCGGCAGCGGCGGGCGCTGGTCCTCAACTGGGCCTTATGCTGCTGTACGGGACTTATTGGGTCGGATAATCTGGTGACCTCCCGGCAGCGTCGGGAGCTGGATGGGCTGATGAGGCGGGAGAGGACTGGCGAGGTGGCGGATGACGGCGAGGTGGCCGGTAACCCGGAGAGGGTAGCCAGGGAGCGCAGGCGGGCGTTGCTTGTGGAGCACTGTTTGGGGCCGGTGTTGGATGTACGGCACCTGGTTTCCGACCGTCTAATAATTGTCGTACTGGAGTGTCGTCCGGGTAATGAGACGTCAGGGTAGTGTTTAACGGGTTGGGGTTGAGAAAGGGATAAGGTGGTGGCGAGACTGTGCTGTAGTTTTGCCTTGTAAAGAAAGAGAGAGAGAGATGGGGGGGAGAGAGAAAGAGAGACATAGCGCCCTGGGAAAGGGCCGTGAAGCCCGGGTCCGGTGTTGGTGATGGGGGAGAGGGACATGGGGAGACGCGGCTGGGTTGACGAGGGGGGAGTGGCACCTGGTAAGTCTGTGTGCGTGTGGGAGGCAGCAAGGGGGGGGGGTAACGACTCAATAGTCGGAGTGCCCCGAGGACCCGGCCCGGGTAGCTAACCAGGTGAACCCGGTCCTCCTGGGGCCGGAGGGGGGAAGACGAACCTGTTTGAGCGAGCGAAGGTGACACCGGAGGTGGGGAGGAGGCTAGAGCGGTTGGGCAGTGCCAGTGATTAACCTGGACCAACACACAAATGGTTGTGGTGGAAGGGAGCGGTGGTAGTTAAAGTGATAGGTAGGGGTAGGTGGGTAGGGATGGAGGTGGGCCCAGGGCCTCACCACCGGGCTGAGATGACGTCCGGGATGAAGCGACAGATATACAAACAGAGATACGGAAACAAGCTGACTACGTGGGTAGTAAGGAGCAGGAGGGGGGAGGGTCAATATCATCTTTTCATACACAGTTCGTTTTGCTGCAGTGGCCGTAGTAGTGGTTCTTGTAGTTCTTCAGTTCCACTGTCAGGCGTTTGATGGGCTGAGGCGAACTGAGGACACCATTGCCCAAATAGGCGTTGGCGTTGTTGTAGCCAGGTGAGGAAGGATTCCCGCCAGCATCACAGTTGGATGTCCTCAGCTCACGAGAACACCACCCGGCATGCACCGGACACAGTACCACGGAGCTGGGGGGGGCCCCCATTCGCGCTCTGTCAAAGCCGGGTCTCAGCACCCCCCTGACTGGCGGTGGTGGGAGTGGTGGTGCCGGCGGTGCTGACAAACGTTCGGTACACCACGTCTGTGGCGTGTGCCAAATCTCATCACCATCCCGGGCTTCCTGTCCGTCCATCTGTGACTCTTTCTGTCTCGGTACACGTCCCCCTCCTCGCGACTGATAACTTGCCCTAACACGCCTGATGAGCTCCACACACACACACCCAGCCAGCTAGCTAGCCAGCCCGCGAGTCAGCTGTCCTGTCAGTCAGCCTGTCAGTCAGTCTGTCAGCCTGTCAAACCTTCTCCTATCCAGTCCGCCAGTCTACGACCCGAGTAGCCCCCCCCCCGCAACCCCTCAGCCTTCCTGTGCTCAGCTCACAAGGATAATACGCGATGCAAGTTCACGTGGTGGGTGTGAGCACACACGAGCCACTACAGGGGCCAGCCGCGAGCCGTCGGGGCACCTTGCCACCCCACGACCACCACATAGCCCATAACGTCCCCTGCAGCGCCCCTCTGCCACCAGTCCCCCCAGTCCCCGCGGCGCTCCTCCCCCCTTCCCTCGTCCGGGTCCCCGCCCCCGGCAGGTGGGTTAGCGTGTCAACAGGGAGCCAACGGTGGCTACATAAGGCCCCGCGTGTGCTGTGTTTTGCGGCTATCCAAAGATGGTGTACTCGCCGTACTTCTTCTCCGGGTCGTATATCTGTGCACGGCCGTACGGCAGGCGGCGCGAGGGCGAAGGGCGGTGCGGGGAAGGGGCCCCAAGAGGAAGGAGAGCACGGGGGAAATCTCGTTCAGAGGAAAGCCAAGTGTGTGTGTGTGTGTGTGTGTGTATAAACGAACTGAGCCGCAAAGCGGAAGGGTTGGAGTGTGTATGTGTCTGTCTGTCTGTCTATGTATATCTGTCTGTCTGCCTGTGTGGTGCGGGGGTTGTTAGTAGCGGATTCGGTGAGGTGGCTGAGGGAGGGAGGGGGGGTACACCAGGGGCAGAGATAACCAGCCGCGAGCCAACGCCCCTCCCTCCCTCCCCCCCTCCCTCCCCCCCTGCTGCTGCCTCTGCAGCCGCTGTCAACCCCCACCACCGCCCCCTAGACACCGACAAGGTGGCCACCAGCAGAGCGCCACCAGCTGGCCCCGCACCAGGAAGCCCCACCACCACCACCTCACGCATACACATATACATACACGCGCACACCCCGGCATCCACATCCTCACCTCCCACCGACTAGCCGGGAAGATGTGTTTGTTCTTGTCGTACCAATGCCGCTCCACAACCTGCCAGAGGTGTGACGCTTACAGGGGTTAGGGAGGTAGAGGCCGTACGCCACGTACAAGCACACCCAGACGCACCTTGCCCGCGTGGCTGTCCTGCTTCTCCTGCGTCGCGTCGTTGGTCACGCGGATATCCTCTCGAACACTGAAGTCGAACAGCGGACCGGACTTCCCGCGGGCCTTGTTCACGATCAGGTCGTAAAAGGTGTGGTGGTGCGGCATGATCAGATCTTCCTGGAGGGGGTCCAGAGGCGACCGGGGGACCCAACCCAACAGAAAAAGGGGGGTTGAGGGGGCATATGCACAGTCAAGGAAACCAGCAGCTGCCGACGTCCACAGCGGGGTGGGAGTGGGGGTGGGGGTGGGGGGAACGTGGTGGAGAACGGAGATTGATATGATATGATACGAGACGACGTGGGCATATATATACGGTACGAACCACATGGCGCAGGGGGGGGTCCTGAGCGGTGAGAGGAGCAGATGCGGGCGTTGGTTGTCGGGGGGTAAGACGAACCACGAACGAGTGAAGCTGCTGGGGTCGGGGGGTAAGGGACGGGTGAGCTGAGGGGGGTTTGATCGCATGTGGCACAAGAGGGGGCAGGTGAGGGAGGGCCCGCGGGTAGCGCCGGAAGGGGGGATGTCGCCGCGCCAGCCTAGTGAATTGCAGTCCCAGTCAGAACTCGCAGGGCGTGGTGGTATTTCGTCATCCTGTCGTACCTTGATGTACATGAGGTTGTCCATCCCCACGTGCCTCAGCTCCCGGAACTCGGGCGCCAGCTGCTCCCGGACCGCCTTCAGGAAGTTGCCAATGGAGTCGCCCTTCTTGATCGTGATGTTGCGACTGCGCATGCGTGTGTGAGAGAGAGGGAGAGGGAGAGAGAGAGAGGGTGTGTGTGTATTGGGGAGGGGTGTAAGCAGCGAGGGGATGTCAGGGGTGGGGTGGAAAGCGGGGGGTTGAACTTGATGACGCAGGAAGCACTGCGATGAGCACCTACTGCCGTATTGGGTTGAGACGGATTGGGATGGGCTGCGCCGTGACGGGGGTAAGACGAACCACTAGGCGAATGACGGGGGGCGGGGTGGGGACACCCCTTTCCCCCCTCGACCCTCCTGGACTATCCGCATATCGCTGGTATCTGCTTCATTCGCCAGTGGTCCCCCTTATACCCCCCGACCCCACCTCCCGGGTTACGGCCCCCTGCTGCTGCTCTCCACACCTGCCCACCCCCATACAACACACGGCATATGCATACGTGCAAACAGACAGGCACAGACAAACAGACAGTGCTACACAAATCTACCCAGGGGCTGCTCACCGCCACTCACCGGTGTCCGGTGCCGTTCCAGTAGGAGTAGGTGATGGCCAGCGGCTCAGACTTGATCGCGTCCTGGGCCAGCTGCCACTCCTTTCGCAGAGCAGCTCGCATCTCAGCCTCCAGCCGCTCACGGTCCCTGCGACCCATGGGTCAGGTCAGCAGTAGGACCGGGGAGGGGTCCAGACCGCAGGCGGGACACCGTAACTCCAGATCGTCGCCGCCGCCGCCGCACTGCCCCGCTGGGGCCAGGACGGCGGTTTAAACCTTTCCCAATCTTCCCAGCTGGCCTTTAGCCTTCAATGACCCCCGGCTTGCCCTCCTCCTCTTCCCCACCCACCTCTTACCCTTCCCCCCACTTCATCCCCCCCCGCTCGCTCGCTCGCTCGCTCACTTGTCCGGCAAGAAGTCAGTGGCCACCGTGGGGTCCTTCCCGAACTTGGCAAACTTGCGCTTCTTATTCGCCGCCACCAGCGCCTCCCCGCCGTCACACCCGCCCCCATCACTTCCGTTGCCGCTGCTGCCTGCGGGCTCCTCACTGCCCACACGACCTTCCATTGCCGTACAGGGGACGGCGGCGGCGGCGGCGTCAGAGGCGGGGGGATCAGCCACCGGCGCTGCCGCGCGAGCCCAGGCGGGCATCGTTTTAAAGACCGGCGGCGGCGGCGGCGGCGCTGTAGCGGGGTCCCCCTCCTCGCCATCTCCGCCGTCTTCATCCACTAGAAAGCTCAGTTTGGGTTTCCTGGCCTCCTTCGCCCGCTTGCGCTTCTCCCTCTCCCTGCTGGCCGCGTCCTCATCCGCCTCCGCCTTCCGCCGGTGCTCCTCCTCCAAACTGGTGGGGCAGACAAGGTGCGGGGGAAGCGAGCGGCGGCGGGCGGTGCGGGGAAGAGAAGGAGCCAATAACATTCATAAACTTCATTCCGAATCAGCTGCTGGAAAGTGCTATGCCAGGTTCTGGGGCCAGGTGGGTGAAGTGGGGTGAGGAGAAGGTGGGCTAACGAGTCCAGAAGTTGCCCAGTGGCCTCCACCCCCTGGTGTGGACGAGGACCCTTATGCCCCGGGGCGCTGTACTTCCTAGGCTTGTTTGGTGTAGGGAGAGACGAGGCGAGGAGTTAAGGGGCTGGGTTGGCCGGGGGGAGGAAGAGCGGGGACAGGCGAGGGCCCGCCAGAGCAGCGCACCGCCACTTCCGACCGCAAAATCCATTATACGACAAAAAATTCCGATCCCGACCCACGGGTCGCTTAGGCCGGGTTTGCCCTCTCACCCCATTTCATTCAGAATGTTCTTCTCAAAAGTCTTTCCTCCTTTGTTTTATCTCCAGCCTCCCAACCACCCTAATACCCACCGTTCCTGCAACGTGGTCCGCTTCTGAATGAACTCAGCTTTGGTCACGAGACCCACTGTCTCGTTCTTGAAGGCGTGCTCCAAAGCCTGGAGCAGGTGGGGAGGAGACGAGGAGAGGGATGCAGAGCGTTCGTGTGCGTGTGTGTGTGTGTGTGTGTGTTGAGATCGCATGCTAAGGAGCAAGGAAGTGTGTGAAGGTTGGGGTGCAGCTGTAGGCAGCGAGTGTGTATGGATAGGAGCGCTTTTTTAGTGCTTTTAGTGGTGTATTAAGATGGGGCACAGAAAGGCTTTCTTTACCCTATGCACCTGAGAATCATATGCTCCCTAACCTTCACCCCACACCCCGGAGCAGGTGGCCCCCTACCATGCGCGGGAGGGGGATGCGTGGGCCTTTCATGCGAGCTGCCAGCTGCCCGGTTTAGGAAACGGAATCCAAGCCGAAATAACTCCCCATTTGGTGTTCCCCGCCTAAACGAGAGAGCTCGGGCCCCCCTCTCAGAACCCTTCAAACTTAAGGAGCACTCAAGGCGCTCGTAGGTGTCGCTGCTTCAACCCCCCGTTCCGATCCAAAGCCACGGCCCCATGGCAGAGAGCGAAACAGGCTGTGAAGGGCAGGCACAAACGTGGAACTTTGTGATAGGTGAGACCATCTTCTTGACCCGATTCCTACAGTCATGGCGCACCTCCTCGGTTGATGCGCCGAATTGCCTAAGGCCAGCAGCATCGGCTTGGTCTTTGGTCTGCTTTTGGAGCGCCTCGAACTTTTTCCGCTGCTCCTCACGCTGCTTCTCCATGCGACGGATGCGCTGCACATCCTCGCCGGTTCCCACATAGCCGTTGTTGAACATCTTTGTGCCGGCAGGCACGCGAGGCAAAGAAGGCGCCCCGCAAGGCTTTGCAGGCAAAGTGCCAACGGAGCGACTTGCGTAACTACAATTTCGTTCTTGCCTTTAATACCGGCGTTCAATCGTTTCTTACAATTGCAACGCGTTAACCAACATTTGAGTGATGGGGACCAAAGCTAATGATTTACTCCTATCCTTGCCAGCACGCCGAAACTGAGTTCCATTAGCTTTATGAAAATCCACAAATACTCGGTTGACGTTGCCCCATGTCGCAAGCTCTAGCTGCATGAGGCACAGCCCTTACGCAGATGACAATTGCTTGTACGATTGGAAAGTCCTTCCAAACACCGTGGCGACAAATGCGAATCCTCTCTCAAGTTCAATTATACATTGAATATCGTAAGCACACCATGAGCGAGGTATGTACATGCTAGCCACCTTGAAGTATCAGCTGCTCTTACGGGCATACGGAGGCCAGTTCGTCCCTTTGCAAGGTCATGCTAACGACATAACTTATTGGCACCGTTCAGCCTCATGAACAGGCCCAAAGCCTATAGCAGCCACTTACGGTGCACCCTTGCACTTCCTGCCTCCTTTCCTTTCCCCGGAGTACTCGTATCACGCAGCTCATGTCTTACACTTTGAGACACGAAGCTTTACGACCCCGCATCATGGATGATAGCACCGGTTGGGCCCAACTCGGCCGCGACGCACTTGCGGCGATCTTCTCCTTCTTGAACCCCCGCGACCTGGCTGCCGCTGGGTGCATTTGTCGAGACACCCGCAATGTGGCGTACGACAATGCGCTCTGGCAGCCTCTTCTGGCCCACTATTTCGGCCTCAACGTCCAGGTAACTCTACCCTTCCATGTTAGGTCACGCCTTCCGCCTCATGCACACAGCTCATGCACCCCCTCCCGCTTCCCCCACTAGCATCCCCAAAAACTCTTCACACTCCCCGTTCCCCGTTCCCTTTCGTCGCCCCTGCACCCTTGTACAGGCCCCCAACCATATGAGCCTTGCTGCCCTTTTCCGTAACCTGTACGAAGCCTGCAAGCCAAGCAGCAGCGGCGGGAGTGGCGGCAATGCAGCCTCCCCCGTTTCCCCCTACCTCTCCCCCTTGTCTGGCGCTATTTCCTTGGAAGGACTGTACACAGATGGCGGCATGGACATGGGTGATCCGGCCTTTTGGGTGCGCAGTGTTAACGAATGTTTGTGTGCGTGTGTGTGTGTGTGATATGGGGAGTCCCAGATGGCAACGGGAGCTTGGGAGACGGGTTCCTCCCCCTCAGGTTCCCAAGGTGGGGACGGGGGAGGGGGTCCAGGGGAAGGTAACGAGGGGGGGTGTACGGAGGGTCTAGGGGGAGAAGCCGGAAGATGGTGGCGTGGCCCTGGTCCTGGTCCTGGTTGTGAGGTTGTTATCCCTTGCAGCTCCCCCGTCGCCCTCCCCACTCCCGGTACGGCATGTGTTTCCCCTGTCCCTGTCCCTGTCCCATTTCCTTCCGCTCCCCCGTGTTCCCCCGTGTCGCCCCGGGTACGTCCAGGCGGGCAACGTGTTCCAGCCCCATGGCTGGTCCCTGTACTGCAGCCGGGCGGGCAGCAACGTGCACTGCATAGCCCAACTCAAGGTGGGTCTGCCGGTAGAGGGCTGTGGGGGTCCGGGGGGCGGGGTCCGGACACCGGCGAAGGGGGGGAGAAGAAAGGGGAGGAGGCGGTGTCCAGACTCAGTCTGAACCCCGCGGGTAGCACATCTGTCCACATCGTGTCACATCTATCCGCCAAATGAACCCGCAGAAACCGACAACCTCCCCCGGAGGCTCTTCCAACTCGTCCCCTACGACCTGACTCCCCGCACCCGCACTGGCCGCCGCACCGGCCGCCGCACCCGCACCCGCACCCGCTGTCAGGCAGTTCGCTCCGAGGACCCCTTCACTGTCTCCCACCGCTCCGAGCTGATCTCCCTCGCCTCAGAAGTAGCCTGGCTGCTCTTCCTGGGCCGCATGCCGGCGAGGATCATGCAGCGAATGCTGACAGCAGCAGCAGCAGCAGCAGGTGGAGCGGCGGTGGCGGTCCCCGCTGCCGGCACAACCAGCAGCAGCAGCCGCAATCCTGCCCGCACTGCGGCCCCTGCCAGCACCGCCGCCGCTGCCCCCAGGGCTCGGGCGGTGGTCGCCCTGTGTGAGCGGCTGCGTGACGCCATGCGCCACTCCCTGCGCCGCTGGTCCACTGCCGGTCTCAGACGGCTGGTCTGGCAGCTCATATCGCATTACCACCTGCTGCTGCAACAGCAGCGGCAGCAGCAAGAGAGGCAGAAGGGCGGTGGCAGCGGCGGCCCTGAAGGAGCAGCTGGCGGACCACTCCCGGTCCCGGTCCCTCTTCCACTGCCCGACCTCGTCGGCTGGGGACAGGCCGCCGCCACCGCCGCCGCCGCCGGCGAGGCGACTAAGAATGGCGATATCCGCGTTGGCGGCGGTGGCGGGGGGCAGCCGCCTGTGGAGGCCTTCCCCGAGGGGGTGATGATGACGGAGGCGGTGGAGGCGGTCCCGCTGTCGTTGCCCCCCCGACTGGCCGCAGTGGGTTGGGACATCGTGCAGGCTGCAGGGGGCCGCAGTGTCCCCGGCGGGCGGGAGCTGGTGGGGCTGGGGGAGGACGGGGCGGGGTTGAAGGTGTGGTGTCGGACGGCGAGGGAGTACCTGAGCAGCCCCGCTCTGGAGTGTACAACATGTGAGTGAGGGAGCGAGTGGTGGGGCTGCGGAGGGAGGGGGGGAGGAGGGGGAGGAATGGTGGGCGAATCAAAGGAAGAGGCGCGAGGGTGGTTGTGGCTGTTAGTTGTTAAGTGGTTGATTGGTGTGGTGGTTGGATACTGGGATGACGATGGGAGAGGACAGCGCGCGGTGGTGAGCGGGATTGGGGTTGTGCGCATGGGGAGTGGGGGCCGGTGTGGAATGGTTCGTGCACACATTCACCCTTATCAATCAGCAGCGTGTGGCATTTTAGAACGTGCGCTTCTGCTGCTGCTGCTGCCGAGTGTGGGATGCACGGAGTTGGCAACTGGTAATGGGGGTTGTCGGGCCTGTAATGACCAGTGCTGACACCCACCCACCCGCCCACACCCCGGGGTGACGGGGGCGATGGCGCGCTAACGCCGCAGCCATCATCGACGGCATCACTGTCTCCCGCACGGGCGAGTTCACGTGCCCAGTGGCGTGTGGAGCCATCTTCCTGGCGCACCGGAGCCCGGCGACTAACCTCAGGCAGGTGCCGCCGCAGCCGCGGACGAAGAAGCCGCCGCTGTCGCCACTGTCGCCAGCGGCAGCTGGTCGGGACAAGAAAGCCGCTGACGGCGCCACCCAACACGTCAGCAGCTCCGAGGAGGGGGAGATCGGTGTGGTGGGGCCGGGGGAGAGGGAGGAGGAGGGGGGGGAGCAGAGGGACGTGCAGCAGGAGTTCGAGGGCATGGTACGGCAGCCGTACGTGCAGGCGCTGTCGGATCTGACGACCCTGGCGGCGGTGGAGGCGGCGGCGTCCGCGGGGCTGCTGCCGCCGGTGGTGGCGCGGGGGAGCTGTCCGAGGGAGGGCGGGTGGGTGGAGTTCCAAAGACCGCCGCCAGCCGCCGCGCAGACGGCGTCGCCATCCTCGCCGTCGAGGGTGCCGTACGGGTCAAGGTTAACTGAAGTACCTGCCTGGAGAGCCGCAGAGTCTGCCCCTGTGGCGGAGTCGGCGGAGGCGGCGACGACGGGGGAGATTGGGAGTGCCGCAGCGGCTGGGGTCCCGGATGCCGGCGGAGGCGGCGGCGGCGCGACGGCGGCGGCTACGATGGCAGCGGGCGTTCTGTGGCCTGTGGCCTGGTTCAGGTGGGGCGTGGGAGTTGCCGCTGGGGATGCCGCTGTCCCTTGTAGTACTTGTTGTACTGATGTCGTACGAATTGGTTGCAGTGGTGAAGATCATAGCTGGTGCAGCTGCTGCCTCAAGCAGTGGGGCCGAGGGGGGTCTCTGGGGCGGGGAAAGCTGACACACACACACACACACACACCCCTTCGTGTACACCCATCGGCATGATCCTCATCGCGGCTCAAATCGTTATGTCACACACTCCCTTATAGCCCTCTAGGCGCGCAGGTAAGTTAGCGAGGCCGCACAGAGGCCTTGAACCGTCACTGCTCGTGTAGCCATAGCTGTAACCGTCCTAACCGATGCCGTAATTGTTCTGATTTGCCGTACCGATGCCGATGCCTTACCCCAGGTTTTTTCCGCACGACGGGTTGGGCGACGAGGGCGATCAGGGTATGGCGCTTCCGCCGGTACTGCCGCCGCCGCCGCCAGTTGACGATCCAGACGATCCAGATCCAGATCCGTATGTAAATGCGCCTCCGTCGCCGATTCCGGTCGCCGACCTGCTGCCGTGGGACAGCGGGGCGTTGTTCGGCGGCGACGGGGCCGTAAGTGGCAGCGATGGTGCAGGTGGTGGCGACGGCAACGCGGCCGTTATAGGCGGCAGTGCAGACGGTGGTGGTGGTGATGATGATGACGATGGTGATGATGATGATGGTGGTGGTGGTCAACATGTCCATGCTGACGGTAGCAGCGATGGCGACGGCGCGGATCTTCGCAGTGTGGAAGGCAGTAGCAGTGTGGAAGGCAGTAGCAGTGTGGAAGGCAGTAGCACCGAGGAGGTTGAAGAAGATGAAGATGAAGAGGAGGAGGACGAGGACGAGGAGGAGGACGGCAATAGCAATAGCGCTTTGACTGACAGCAGCAGTAGCATCGACGCCGACGGCGGCGGCGGTTGGGGCCTTAACGGCGACGACACCAACACAGACGAATGGGAGGACGAGCTGGACTTCTTGTACGGCATTGAAGGCAAGCCGTATTCATACAACGCGACGGCGGGTCAGTCGTACAGCGATAATGATGATGACGATAAGGATGATGATGAGTTGGCCGTACATACCTTTGCCGCTAGGGGCCCCGGAGCTGACACAGATGCTGCCGCCAGCGGCGGGTCGGGGCCCTCTAACGCCGCCGCCGCCGCCGCCGCGGATCCGAGGGCTACAGGGCCAGTACCTGACGGCAGCGCGGCGGCGGCTGGCTCCCTGGAGTCGACCGTTGAAGAAGCAGAGCGGCGGCGCTGCCAAGATCCAAAAGCGAAACGGCGATGTCGTCAAACTCCTCATGATGACGACGAAGACGATGATGATGACTCTGGTCGTTCACAGGGGCCGCAGCAGCCACTCGGCGGAGGCGGCGGCTTGGGCTGCAACATTGCAGGCGGCAGCTGCGACACGGGTGCGGTAGAGGGCGCCGGGAATTTGGCTGCTGCCGCCGCCGCTGACCGTGCGCCGTTGTACGACTACTGCGGGGAGATGCTCCAGGGTGTGCCGCTGATGTCCTGGCTGAACCACCTGACCAAGCCCCACGTGGCGGGAGTGAGTGGAGGGGTGGGGGGCGGAGGTTGTGCTATACCGTATGTATTGCTGCGGTTGCTATTGCTGGTGTTACTGGTATTGCTGCTGTTACTGGTATTGCTTCTACTGGTATTGCTACTGCTGCTGCTATTGTTATGCTACTGCTATTGCTGGTGGGGCCCTGGTGGTGCTCTGGCTGCTATCAGGTCCCGGGGAACCCACTTCGGACCCCTCCTGGACTTGGGGGGTGAGGGGGAGAGGCCAGCCCGCGGGGGAGGGAGGGGGTCCCGGGCCCGGGCTTGGCGCTGCTCTGCTTCCCATTCAGCCTTCCCCGCGCAACATCAGCCTTCCAACAACCGAACCCTTCATGACCGGTACCCTCCCATTTCCTGCGTAACTCTAAACACTTTCGTCTGTAGGTCATATTGGGGTGGATAGCCGACGTGGCGGGTATGCAGGCGCTGCGCCACACCTTCCAGAACGTGCAAACGGCGCTACAGCCCAGCGTCGCGAAAGCCCCTTCCCTATCCCCAGCCACATCTATAGCTACAGCTGCAGGAGGCACGGCTACAGCCGCGACGCAAGGCGCATGGGGAGCAGCACCTCAGTATGTGTATCAGTCATTGGCCGATTGCTCATCCGCTGCAGCGGCGACGTCGGTGCCGACGCCAGCAAAGACCGGCGGTGGTGCGGCGGCTGCAGCGGCGTTGTCGGAGCCTCTGGCAGCGCTACTGCCGCCAGACAACTCTGCGGAGCGCGCCTTCGAGGGCTTAGAGCCGGTTCCCCCGCTGCTGTCCCCGCCGCCACTGCCGTACGAGCTTCTTGGCAGCCCGGATCCGGGTGCTCACGGGCCTCCTGCTGACCTGACGCAACCTGGGCAACAGACCGCTGCCGGCGGAGCAGCAGCAGCAGCAGCGGCGGCGACGGCGGCGCAGCCGCCTCCGTCGGGCCACTTGTGCATTTCGCTGTGTCAGCGCTGGGTCGGCAACACGGTGCTGCTGAAGCTCATTTCCCCGGAGGACCGCACGGAGGCGTTCGGGGAGGAGGCGGACCTGCCGCCCAACATAGATGTGCAGTTCCTGGCGCTGCGCGGCGTGACGCTGGCGCTGCGGCCGCCGCTGCGGGTGCTGCCGCCGGGCTGATAACAATGATGACGACGACGATGATGATGATGATGATGATGATGATGATGGTGCCGCGCCGCCGGTGCCCTGGCATGCACCGACAGAGGACTTCTTCGGAGTGCGCGTGTGTGCTGCTGTATTTGCGTGTTAGGTCTTGGGGCCTAGGGGGGAGGTATGGGTAGGAATTTATCCAAAAAGTAAAAATCGGGAAATCAACTGCCGATTGCCCTCAGGAAAGTTGCGCAGGACTGGTGAAGGAGTCCAAAGCCGCCCCCACAGGAGACGCAGCTGCTCTCCCTTGGTGAACTCCATTACCTTCACGACCACCGAGCTGTTTGTTGGCCGTGTTGTCCCCTCAGAGGGCATGTACCGTAGAGTCATCCTGTGCTGCACGAAGTGGGGGAGGAAGGCAACTGCATGCCGTTCGAACTTGCGGCCAGCAGCAGCAGCGGGTCCAACCAAAGTCCAAAGAGCTACCCAGTTATCAAGTAGTCGGCCGCTGGTTGAATGGCACCTCGGAACTGTCCTGTCGGGAACCGGCGAGTGCGAGATTTGTGAGGGGGTGTGAGGGCGCATGTGGTTAACTGCTCTCAACAAGGCTACCACCAATGCCACCGCCTGCATCGCCTTTCTTGGCGGCCGTACGCCGCCTGCGTCCCCCCGCCCCCCTCCATGTGTTTATTGACGAGATAAACAATGTCTGCTAGACGGGTCCCTGTACGGCATGGTCGCTGGACCAAGCTGACCGCGCGCCTGCATGGCCTTAGCCTGCATCGTAACGTCTTCGCAGCCCAAAGGCAATGCGGCTGCAACCGCCTTTTAAACTGCCGCAGTGGTGCTGCGCACTGAAACCGATTGGCCAGTGAGGGCCCCAACGAATTGCCAATTGGCCCTAGCTATGTATACGGTCCATGGCCTCCCGGCTTTGACGGAACCCCCCACACTTGTATGGAACTTGTAACTTGCTAAGAGACAGGGGTGACCGGGAAGAGGCGTGCAGAGGGTGTGTGGGAAGGGGTAGCGCCGATCAGTCAGTGGATGGGGAAAGGGAACTCAAGCAACAGCGGTCACATATATGCAGAACTGATATGCTGCGAGGGATGCGAGCCGGAACCCAGGACCGGAATTGCGGGAAGTTAAAACAGGCTAGCATGGGCCAGGTGCAGTACACCTGCATGTCGTACGATGCTGAGGAACGTGGCCCCATGGTCGCAGCTGATAGCTTCTCCCCGTTTTATGATTAGGAACAGGTTGTGGGCCTCCCGGCGTATGACAAGTACGCATCTCCATGCACGGCGGTGGCGAGGAAACCACGGGGAGCTGGGGACCCGTCTCCCGGGCGGACAAAGGGGCTGCTAACGGGCGCGCGCTCGCCGAGCTTCGTCTTTTGCGTTCGCTACCAGAGGGATGTTCATGGCCCTAGTACAGAAAGCTTTATTGCTCATTCGCGACTTGTGGATCAGCCCAGTCTATTTTGCAAGTTGCCAACAGGTGATGGTGTTCGGTACATCCTCCTACCGTTAGCCAAACGACCTGGACGGGTTGTGTTTGACGAGATTGGCATTGATCATGGATCATGTATAACTATCCATAAACGAACACATAATATGTCAGGCTGCAGCTCATACAACGTTGGGCGATTAATCTGTTGTCTGTTCTGTTTGTAGACAGGGATCGTACATCGCTCGTCCGTTCTCGAACATCTTTGCTCGGCATAACAGTAGCATTCACATGTACTGTAGAATTCCATAGAGCTATTGACATATTACAATATAATGCAGCTTTTTGCAGCACGTCAGTCGTTTGGGACACTCGGCCGACCTACGGCGCAGCCCCGTGCGGCTAGCGTCCGGCCAGTGCATGCTGCTCGTGCCTCTGTAAATCGCCGTCGCGTTCTTTTACGGGCGGCCGAGGTACAGGTGCTGATCAACGCTAGTGACATACGCGCAATCGCTTTTTTTACCGAGGTGGCACTGGTGCTGAGGGCCGCCGCGTCCGTCTTCCGCAGGATGCCCCTGCCGAAGCTGCTGACGCTCCGACTCTCTCTCCCCTTGATCGGGCAAAGAAGGCTCTGGAGGATGGCTCGCTGGATAAGGAGGTTCTGGTGAGCAAAATCTGCACGAACAGCTTAGTATGCCTTGATAATCAATACTTAACACATTTACACCGCTATCGGCTGATCTCTTTGTGATCCATTGTCGGTCGTCGGGTGAAGCCATACGAGTCCGATTGCAGTTTTCTTATCACCTGCATAAAGGGTTTGCCCCTACCCTGTCATCCTTGATGCACGTCCATGCTTACTTACCACAGAGTGGCTGCCTAGCTGAATTGGAGTTGGAGATGGAGCGTATGCGGGCGGAAGCTTCGGCCACCATGGAGCGGGCATCGGCTTTAGAGGCGAGCGCGAACAGTGCCAAAGACCAATACGTGCGGCTGACGGCGGACTTTGAGAACTTCCGTCGGCGCACGGTAAGCCTCAATGTGGCTTGACCCCCCATCCATTCCCCTCTCCCTTCTGCTCAGCACAATTGCCCACTGACACCTAGGAAACATTGAGCCGCCGATGACATCCCTAGCTCAGAATGGCACCTTCCCGCCATGTCCAGATTCGCATTTACTCCTCCAGACAATACTCCTCCAGACAAAACCCCGTCTCCACTTTGAAGCCCCATGGAGCCGTGTCCCTCAATGCATTCCCATTTTATGCGTCCATAAACGAAAGCTGGAAAGCTGCCGTACGAAGCCGTTTCGTCCCGTGCGCGTCAGTCTTGTCCTCCGCCCGGGCTCCTCTTCCCTCCGCCGCCTCTCACCGCCGGCGCATCCGATCGCGTCCTGGGACCATAACACACTACACGGCTCTGCACGGCACCGCACTCAACCGCGGCTTCCGTCCCCGACCAATGGGTCCCCCACTTGTCCACCGGCGAGGGGGAGATAGGTCCTTGTTGCACCCCCGCCCGCCCTCCAGTGGTTCGTCTACTCTCCCTTCTGCCCCACCCCGCCCACCCCTCCCATGACTTCGACTCCTCTTTGGACCCATCGCTGATCGCCTCTGTCCGGTGCATTGCCTTACCGCATTTTGAATGGCTGGTTGGTTGCCTGGCTGACTGCATATTGGTTTGTACTGACATACATACAGAGAGAGGAGAACGCCCAGCTAACGGACAATGTTCGTGGGGACGTCATTAAGGAGCTGCTGCCCATTGTGGATAACTTCGAACTGGCACGGACCCAGGTGGGCCCCATGCGGTGAAGTGGTGTGGGGGATGAGAGGTCCAGGAGGGGGCGGAGGAGCGTCGTAATGGCTTCTTTGAATTGGGATCTGAGGGATGAAAGGATGAATTTGTAATGAACCCAGCCCCGGGTCCCAAGTCCCAGGTTCCAACCCAGGCGGGAACAAAAAAGCAAATCCCGAGAGGAGGTGCGGCAAGGTGGGGGAATTTTTGCTGCTGGAAGTTCTGGGCGCTGAAGGTCTGCTGCTGCTGCTGCTACTGCTGCTGCCAGCGCTGTGCAGCCGTGACTGAGTCTGGGCTGGGAGGGAGGGGGAGGAGCACTCCGCGGGACGGGGTGGGAGAGGTTGAGGTAGAGGGGGAAAGGGAGTGTCATTGCTGGTGTGTCACATCAGCACAGCGGAGGAAGCGAGGGGGTCTTATGTGTGCGTGTGGCGCTGCCTTACGTGGGTAAGCAGGGCAGGGCGGGCCTGCCGGCTCTGCACCTGACGGGGCGTGTTTGTGCGGGTTTTATCGCCCAGAGGACCTGTTGGCGTACTAGTCGTTAGTAAGGAGTCGTTGCTGCAGACGCGAGTACGGCTCGTGTGTGTGTGTGTGTGGTTGGAAGGAGATCGTGGAGCCGTCTCTTGACAGGGTCTTACGCTGGTGTGGTCATAGCTAGCTTGCTGCCTGCATGGCGGCGAGTTAGCCGCCTGGCAGGCTACCTATCGCTGCCATACGGGGGAGGGGAGGATGGGGACTCCAGAAGGGGGCTCGCTGGGAGGGTTTTGGCGGGCTGGCAGGACGTGGTGGTAGTGGGGAAGGGGATGGGAGGTTGTTAGGGAAAGGTTGGCGAGAGGGCTTGGGAATCCTACGTTGGCGAGCAAAGGGCGCGGTGTTGTTGCTTGGTGGGCTCGAGAAGGGGCCTTGGTTTGGCTTCTCTGGACATTTGTTGAGGTCTAGGTCGGGTTGGCTCCTGTCGCTCATCTAGTTGGGGGCGCCAAGCGAGAGGGAGGGGCGGAAGTGTGGAATACTCATGGTACGATACGGCAGCACCTGTACAGCATGTGTTGATGGACCATGTGGCTTTGGGCATTTAGTCTTGGCGACCGACCCCTGGATACAGGTCTTCACAGCTCCTCCAACATTTGGATACGGGTAACTTGACTGTACCAGTCGTGATCATTTGGGATCAAGTGTGGATTGGGGGCATCTGAGCCTCATGGCCTTACACCTGCCGTCCGCTCAAGGCTAAGTTTAACCGCCGCTGTACGGCATGTGGGCTATTTCCCTCCCTGGATGCAGGTGAAGGCGGAGACGGAGGGCGAGGCGAAGATCAATAACTCGTACCAGGTGCGCGCCGTGTGCGTGGGGGGGATGCGGGGCACGTTTTTAATTGTTGAGGTTTGGGAGTTTTGATGGCGGGATTTGTCGTGAGCGGGTGGCGGAGTGGGCAAGCGCAGGAGGCGCCAGGGTGAGGCGAACGAGTCGCTTTGGTGAGGACGTCTCACCCTGGAACACCAGCGCTAGTGCGACGGATTCTCCGCGCCTGGCCCTGCACTCTCCTATCAATTGGTTTCCCGCCGAGCTGAGCCAATGCCCGGTGTGTTAATTGTCCCCACACATTCGTTACCTTGTGTTCCCAGCTATCCGGCTCCCCCCACACCCTCTCCCCCCTCGTGCCGTGAACGTCGGCAGTTAAGCCTTAGCTTATTCCATATGATTCGGGCCCTCTTACCTACCTTCCGTCCTACCTACCTACCTACCTCGGGCGCCCTTCAGGGTCTGTACAAGCAAATGGTGGACATGATGCGCTCCCTCGGGGTGGAGGCGGTGCCCACCACGGGCACGGCCTTCGACCCCAACATCCACGACGCCATCATGCGGGAGCCCTCCAACTCGCACCCGGACGGTACCGTGTTGCAGGAGTTCCGGAAGGGCTTCAGCATTGGAGGCAAGCTGCTGCGACCAGCCATGGTCAAGGTGGGTTGTTGGGCCGGTGGAGCGGGGGTGGGGAGTGGAGCCAGGATAAGGGCCGGGTTGGGTCTTGCGGCTGCACCGTGGATGTAGTCAGACGTCCTTGTCAGGGGTGTGGAACGTCGAGGAATGTACGTCTGCTTAGCCGTACATGTTTCGTCACTGCGTATTATTGGCAGGTCTGGGTTTCGGGTTCATGTTCGGATCCTAGTTTGGCGCCAGGAGACGGTCTAACAGGATTGGTCGTCGCGCTTTGCGGAAGGGAGGGATGGCAGGGCGTGTCAAAACATGGACGGTGTTTGATGGCGAGTATATAGGAGCGTTTTCCCTATTGGCGGGTGGCTGAAAGAGAAGTGCTGAAACTTAGGGAGGGGGGCATGGCGTGGGTAATTATGGATAGTAAATCCGTGTGTGATATGAGATATTGGGAGGTTTGTCGTAGTCGGAGGTCTGTGCGCAACCTAATATGTCCTTGATGCTTCAACTAGACCACTAACAATTTTGCTTATTACCTTTGCACAATTGACGGTTTGCAGGTATCGTACACGGAGGAAGGGCCAGCGAATAGCTCGGAAGAGTGATGTCTCAGTGACTATATATTAGATGTGTGCAGGAGATTTATGAGGACAGTGGTTGTAGAATAAGAGGTTGGGTGGATTTGTTTCAGGTCTGTGTCGAAGAAGTGAAGCGTGTGTGCAAACCGGATTGACAATGTATTCATGAATACTGGGGTGGCTGAGTAATATATGTAAAGCAATTGTGTTACGGAAAATTGCATGCTTATCAAGTTTACAAAATATGTTTGCAATTCGCAGACTTTGGCCGAAACTGCTGACAGATATTTCAGCTCTCGGTAACGTTACGAATCATGCCACTTAGATCGTCAGTAATGCAACCATAGTATCCGCAAACTTGCCTTACATGTACGTTCGAACTGGTACATCTCGATTTTAAGGCGGAAATTTGTCATAACGATAACTTCCACACACATTCTTAAAAGAATGCTTCAACAGTAAATCAGCTCCGCGCGAACTCTCTGCCCTTCCCTAGTCATTTCTTCGAAAACTCTTATACGACCCCTGCGTACCAACGTTTCCTTCGAGACCCTACCACTATATTTCTGCATGCCTGTCGTACAGAGCTGCCCAGCGCTACATCGAGGCCCAAGCGCGGGTCTGCTCACCATTCCGAAAACCCTCCTAACAGACGCGTTCGGTACGAACGCCCATTCCAAACCGCAGTAGCTGCTTCACGGCTTAACAAGATCCGGCAGCTCTTCGTTGTCGGAATCCTCCCCTTCGCCATCGCCTGCTCCTGCAAACTCATCGTCCTCCCCTTCGAGAGGGCTGAAGTCCATGCCGCCCATGCCCCCAAGGCCGCCCATGCCCCCAAGGCCGCCCATGCCTCCCATGCCGCCCATGCCCCCCATGCCTCCCATGCCGCCGAAACTGGAGAAGTCCATTCCTGCGCGTTGGGTAAGCGAGATTTAGCGCATTCAGGCTTCTACCCAATAGGATGCCGGAGCAGCCTTGTCATTGCAAAGTCAACATATTGGTTGTGTCGAAAACATCGGAACCTGCTGTGGCGAAATCAGGCAACATTTTGCGCAAATCAACTTACCGCTGAAATCAGCTTCAGGCTTCTCATCCTCTTCGTCCTCGTCTACCCACTTATTCCAGTCGCACTTGATGTGGGCGAGGTGTCGGCCGGACTCCTTTGTCAAGCGCGGCCAGTGCCCGGGCTCCTTTTTTAGGATAATCATGAAGATGTTTCGAGGTGTGATGCTCACTTTGCTGTCGGCTGACTTTGCGTCGACTGCCGCAAAAAACGTAAGATCTAGGGAGTACTCATTCTGCTCTGTCCCGGCTTTCCCTTTGAAGGTAAGCTTCTCATCCTCGAGATCACAAGATTGCTCTTTGACGTCCTGAACGTCTATCGTCACATAGAGCTTGTCCGAGCGTTGTGCCCAAAGGACGGTCGGTACAAGGGGCATCCTGGGTGACTTGCAACGTTGAAGTTTCCGAGTAGTTAAACTCAGAAAGAACTCGCGTCGCGTTCGCACTATTTGGTGGAGGCAAGGATGTGACAAAAAGCTGTCCCGCGCTCACATATCCAGAAGCGCCGCGTGAAATCCGTACGATGATTGGAAAATAGTCATGCTAACTGGCTCGCTTCCGTAAACGTGAAACTCTCTAAGAGACGTCTTTAGATTATCGACTTGAACTATTGTGTCTGCCAAATTGGCCAGCACCCAGGCTTACTGGGCTGCCATGACTTACCACCATCCTACGGAGAAGTACAGAAAGCCAAGGCTGAAAGAACGCAATATATCAAATGTTTAAAGGAAAATACATGGTTTAGTTTGAGGAGGTCTTCCCGCCTGGGAGTCTGAGGCTCGATGGTCCTCAAGCCCAACGTGCCCTACTAGCTTACGGGGACAATTGAATTACCCCACACTTTGGTGGTTTTATGGAGTACGTCCTCTGGCAGCGATACAGGTTCCCATTAGTCGTGTTTGTTATTTTGGCAGCTGAACTCGACCGTCAGCGGCACTCCGCGAGTCTCCTTTCCCTGCCTTGCATTACCCTTATAACATTTGCACACCTTAGTCCACACCCTGTGCCCGCCAAGGCTTCATCTACGCGCATTAAACAGAAGGGAAACATCATATCAGGGAATTCAACTTTCAAAATGGAAACTCATCCTACCCTCAGCAGGGGCATTCGCATGCCATCAGCCAACGTCCAACCGTGTATAGCGCGCCCGAGGACAAAAGCGGAGAAGTTACAAATCCCTTTAACCCTTACCCCCGGAAATGCTCAAGCTAACCCACACGAATTCGCTCCGTAATTAGGTTATCATTTCTTGCTGGTCCCAAAGCCACCAAAACCCATCAATGCCATCATGTCCGGATCTGCCTCCCCGCCATCCAGGCCCCCTCCTCCCGTCCCTGCTCCCGCACTCCCCGCTGCCGCCTCTGCCGCCTTCCGCCGCTTCTTTTCTCGCTTCTCCTCACGTTCCTTGGCCTCCGCGCTCGCAGCCGCGTCGAACCCATCAGGCACGTAGTCCTCCGGCGGCGGGCTCCTGCGGCTCTTGAGCTCATCAAACTTGTTCTTGACCTGCTCAAGCGTGGACTTTTCCACGCGCATGCTCATTCCCAGCGCTCGATTGTGCCACTTGCCGTTGATGTGGTCCAAATAGCTCTGGGAGTCCCGCAGGACGCAATTGCAAACGTTGCAAAACCAACCAGCTTGCTGGTTGAGGGGCGTGTTGAAGCCGACCACCTGGGTCTTGCCTAAGCGCGACGTGAGGTCGATCTGGTAGTCACGCTGCCGCAGGAGAGACCGTTCCACGATTAGCCCCTGGTGCAGCGGGTCACGCTCGAGACGCCTCCGCCGGCGAATCTCCGCCGCCGTCTCCTCCCGGTCCTCGTCATCCCCGCCTTTGCCCTTTAATGCCTTATCCTTTTCTTCTGCTTTCTGGCGGTACTCCTCCTTGTCCCATGTGCGGCGCGCTGTATTGTCGACGCCTGCTGCCCGTTTGGGCGCCAACAGCTTGCTCATTGCTGATCCGGTGCTGTGGTGTCGCCCAGGTTTGGGTGCCGGTTTCCGAAGGAGTGCTCGCCCGCGCTCTCCTGATGTTTGGCTCCGTTTCCAAAGTTGCCACGTCCAGGCTATGCTGTTGCTGGGTTAGGATACACTAAAGTCGAGACGCCTGCAAAGGTGAAGTGGTTGGTCCAAGGGGCCCTCAGCTTGGGCGCGGTGCCAGTGCAACATCTGTACAGGTTAAGAGGATATTTACCTTCAGATGTAGACGCATACAAATAAGGCTAAGGCTTAACCCAAATCTATGTAACTTGACGAGTTAGACTGTAGAGGTGCCAACACCAATAATACGTATACATCTCGCAATCATAAGTACAAAGTTGTTGAGGAGTTCATATTTGTATGGGGAAAGCCCCTCTTTGCATCGTGCAACGACAAGATGACGCTGTTGGAAGCAGGGCCTAAGGCAAGCGGCTTTGGAAACAGTAGTATTTTAGCTTGGAGAGAGTAAACATTTCAAAAAATTCCCCGTGTTGGTTGCTGTTCGACCTTGCACGGCACCCCAAAATCCATAATGTGACTGCACAAGACAGCAATGTTGCTCGTCATGGGGAGTTAGACCAAGTCTGTTAGTAAGTTCAGATTTGGGTTAAATTGTAATTTGCTCAACTGCGAAGCTTATGCATGCTCGTATGCTGAGAGACCCGCTGACAGCCGGTGTACAGAGGGTTCACTGTTATGTCCGAATCACCTCACGCAACGCAGATATAGCTTGGTGCCATGCTTGCGACCTAAGCTGGGCCTCGCCCTCAAGGCCGCAGCTGGGTTTTTAATTCTTCTAGGGGTTTGCCATTGCTGAAAGCCGCGGAACACCATGGACGCTGAAAGGACTACGGAGAACCTCTATTGGGCTGTGGTTCTTCAACAGTACGTAGATGCAAACAGCCCAAGTGATCCTGCGTCTGCTGCTGAACGGAAGAGGCTTGTTGACCATCTTCAAGCGAATCCGTGCTCTGCGCAAGCATGGGCGCAATTTCTGATGCACGAGGAAGCTATGTTCTATTCAACATCCGCAAGCCGCACCTTGAAAAACAACGCCAGGTTGCGACATCTGTTCCGGTGCGCATCGGACTTGGTGCCCTTGGAACATGGGATGGCTTCGGAAGCCTATATCTATTTAATGATTGGACATGCACGACACATTTGGTAAGTTCTGTGAAACTCGAAGCATCACAGGGCGGCTTTTTGGCAGCTTGAAGCCTTATTTCTCTTGAACCGAGTGTTGCAGGTACCGCCATCAGGACGAGGCCCGGGACCTGTTCAAAGCAATCAAAGCTAGGCAGTATCCTCATCGTGGCGCGCTGATGTACTACGAGTGGGCTCTGCTGGAGCACGAGGCCGGCAATACCACCAAGGCCTTGTCTGTACTGGAGAAAGGCCTCCGAGATCGTGCAGAGCCCCGCAGGTGCAGACAGAGCTGTAGCGGCATTATTCAGAAGCTTTGAGTAACGAGTGCGGTTGACAGCACTGCAAGCACATTGCGTGGGGTGCCGGGGGTGAGCAAGGGGGTTACCATTTGCATTGATCACAGCTCTCCTTGCTTTCCGCTTGCCTTGTAACGCAGTATGCTGGAGGGGCTCATGGCCCGCTGGCAACCTACGCAAGGGGTGGGAACAACATCAGGCAGTAGTCGCGGAGAGACGACGACGGTGGTGCAGCAGCGGAAGGTTCATTTCCAGGACGTATCGGTGGCAGCTTTTGCTGCAACCAGCCTTACAGGTAGGGACCATTGTTTGCTGAGTGGGTTTCGTGGGGTCGATACTCGCTTGTTGGCTAGATCTTACCCCCAACGTTTTGACGATGGTATACGTGCTTCATGTGCGTGCTCACAACACGTACAGTACCTTGGATATATCGCTCACATAGCAGCCACACACAATCCGAACATGTAGTGCATGTATGAAGTAAGTATGAACCATCCAACCCCGCAGACGGTGCAGCATCCTTCAGGCGCACTGCACCCTCGACGCCTGGGGCGAGCCTCAAGGACCCCAGCGATTCTGCGACCTGCAGCTCGGGGGGCGGCAGCTCAGTTAGTAAGTCCATGACCACAATGCTCCCCGGGGACCTCAGCCTCGGATTTTCGACACAGCATACAGGTTGCATGCCAACTAAAAGCCAAGTGTCGTACCAAAGCCACGCATATGAGGAGGACATCACCAACTGCAGACCTGGGGAAGACAACAGGACTCCGGGCTTGCTTGGTGCCACGTCGCGCGGTGGGGCTGGCGGCAGCGGCAATACGGGCACGGTCACATTGCCTACGGGAATTGGCTCTGCCTTGAACCTGGTGGCAGGTGCAGCCGCAGTTGCAGCGCTTGGTACTGGCTCTTCGACCGGGCATAACACGACAAGTGGCAGTACGGGCTACCCGATCTTGCGACGCTTCGGCTTCAAGAGCAAAGCAGTTCGGATTAACGTAGAAGATTCGAGGGCCGTGCAATCAGAGGGTATGAGCTCTACACTGACTGGTGTTGTGTCGCCTGCCATGCCGGCGAACAGCGCTGCACCGATTCTCAGCAGTTGCACGAATGAGGCAGCCACGAGTCGACAATCAGTGGGCATGAGTCAGCAGGAGCCGCCAGCGGAAGAATGCAAGATAGACGGCATCGGCATTGTTACCTCACACAGCGCATTGTCCTCTTCACAACCCGTGGCTTCTGCGGAGACGCAGGCTACGGACGACTTGGAAGAGGGAATGACACGGAAGAGGCGTGCTGCATCAGATGCTGCCGTATCTCCCACACGTTCGGTACTGTCCGTCGTGCTGCAAGAAGAGGGCCTGAAGCGCCGGCAGTCCCCGGACATTGTACCGGCCGCTGGCCCGTCCTGCAGTGCAGGATTCCCCACGATACGCGGAGCAGCTGCTGCATACGGTGCGGATGGCAGCCCATCAGCACGGCTGGCAGACGGACATGTCGACGGGTGCCCGGATGCCGGAAGGTGCAGCTTCATGGGGCCCTCAGTGCCATCTGAGCATTTACCTGTGCATGCTTCGGGGTCAAATACGGCACCTCCTACCGTGTTGGCGGTCGAAACGGCTCTTGGGCATGATAGCTTGGGCGGGTGGCGGACGTCGCTGCCCCAGGCAAACCTACCTACTCCCTCTGCAGTGGTGCATCAACGGGAGACGTCCGCGGATGGCTATCGATCCAGTTACTCCACCGCCAGCGCTAGCCAAGCTGCTGGGCAACATCTGGAGCGGCATAGCAGTAGAAACGTGGCTATTCCTATGCGCAGCACCGGGTCCCAGGGTCCCTCCTACCCAGATGAGAACGTGGTTCCTGCGGACACGGCAGAGGCTCCGTCTGGAGACGCATCGCCTCCTGTGATGGATGAGAACCAAGCTCCCTTGCTCGATGCGGCGAGGGCGACCAAGCAGGTGCAAGCTGTGACCTCCAGCGCGCCTGCGCCGCAGCATCAGCTCCAGTACCTCGATAACCGGGAACCGCTCAGGTGTGGTGCCGCCTCGGGGTGTGCTTTCAGGGAAGTGACGGATACTTGAGGGCGTCAAGATTTCCCAGGGAAAAAGACGAAGAAGGCTGCTAGTTGACATGTGATGAAGCTGTTTGGTAAGCTAGTAAGCTTGCTAGTAAAGCACGCGCAGGGACTAAATCCGGACACACACCTGCTGTGAGGCATTTGCTTGGGCTTGGCCTGTGGCTTGGTTCCTTGCTGTTGCAGGCCGGTTGGGTACGCGGCTTCAAGGCCGGTGCCGCCGCCGCAGGCAGCTGCTGCTGCACCGCAGCAACAGCCAGTGCCCATGCAGCCAGTGGGCAATTGGCCTGAGCGTCTTGAGCAGCGGCAGATCCGGCCCATCGAGAACGAAATGTATGTGTACGTGCGTGGCATTCGGTACCAGAAGCTGGATCTAGCTGGCAAAGGCGGTAGCAGCAAAGTTTACAAGGTGCGTCTTGGCATTCTTTAGTTGGACAGGCAGGATTGTCCCCAGCAGGATGGGCCCTGGCTCTTTTCCGCATACCCAAGGAAGGCATTCTTAGTCTGTGAACATGCGGTTTGGGTAATAAGCCCGAGTGCTTTGGGCGTCACACTGTACACTTGGGGCCCCTACATGAACTGCCCCTTCCCGTTGCCCTGTATGTGCATTACTTATCCAATGCCCAGGTGCTGGGTCTCAATCGTGGCATATATGCGTTGAAGCGCGTGCGATTTCAGAACAAGGACAACGAGGTAGGGATGTAGGGGAGCGAGGCGGGCTAAGGGCCAGAATGCTCACGGCGGACGAAGCCTGCACATACATGTTTTGCTTTCCATGTACGTGCTCACATGGGCGTGCGGCAAGGCGACGCAGCGCTCGCCGGCTGAAATATTAATGGCAGAGGCACAAGCTTTCGTTCGCTGCTCTGCGAGTGCAGGTAGTCAAAGGTTTTGTCGAAGAAATAACGCTTCTGCGCCAGCTACGTGGCAAGCCGAACATCATTCAACTGATTGATTCGCAGGTCAGTAATTTAATGCGTGCCCCTGTTGTGTCGGTTTGCCCGCTGCACAGCCTATCGGTCTGGATGGCTTGCTATTTATGCCCGTGCTGTGAGTAAGTCCACAACGCGTAATGGCCACGTTTTGGCTACTAAGAGTGGTCAAGGTCGCCCGGGTCCTGCATGCCATGTATTACACCTGCATATATTTCCACGCAGGTGTTTTACGGCCAAGGCTCCACTGGCGTCGGTTTCGTGTACATGGTCCTCGAGTATGGTGACATTGACTTGGCCAGGCTGCTCTGTATGCATGAGGAAGCGCGCCGCCGCGCCACCAGCGCCAACGGCTCTGCAGACGAAGGTGCCGCCAGTAGCGGCTTGGATATGGACGGGAGCAACTGCCAAGAGATTGACGCCAACTTCATTCGTCTGTACTGGCAGCAGATGCTGCGCGCAGTAAAGTGCATTCATGATGCCCGTATCGTGCACGCGGATCTAAAGCCCGCCAACTTCATGCTGGTCCAGGGGCAATTGAAGCTCATCGACTTCGGTATCGCCAAGGCGATTCAGGGCGACACGACGTCTATTAATCGGGAATCGCAGGTAGGATGTGGAGTGCTCGGTTCATCGGTGCATTCCTTCACATGCAACACCCATATGCTGCATTTGCACAAGGCTTGTGCACATGTGGGCCAAAAGCTGAGAAACGGCTGCCGCGGTCCCGCAGGTTGGTACATTGAACTACATGTCGCCGGAGGCCATTCAGGGCGGTACCCAAAACCCTTTTGGCGGCCCGCCGGTCAAGGTTGGCCGGCCCTCCGACGTCTGGAGCCTCGGTTGCATCCTCTACCAAATGTGGGTGCTGGGATGGGTAGATGGGCATGCGTCGTTATATGCACTGCGACCGGCGGGTTTTCCTTTTCGCATCCGATCCCCAAACCTCGTCGTGGCTTTAAATAGGAGCATGCATGCCGAGAGCACAATATATCTTCACTTAAGCGCTCATCAACTGACGATTGGCCTATGTCGTTTCCTCGGCAGGATCTACGGTCGGACGCCGTTCGCTGACCTGACCTTTATACCGAAGATGAACGCAATTTGCAACCCGGATTACAAGGTGCCTATGCCCGATTGCGGCGAGCCCGACGCAGTGGACTGCATTCGCAGGTAGGGCTATGCTGATATCGGAACAAGCCGGAAAGTTAGGGCGTGTTACCGTGTGACACAAAGTCACCTTTCAGGCACCACGCGGCAGGGCTTGCGCTATATGGTTCACAGTTGTCGCTTCAGGGTTGGGGCTTGTGGTACGCGCAGGTCCCTTGGCTATGGAGTATCAGCCTGGGTTTAATGAAGCGCCCGAGCACGTGATGCCATGTTGCAGGTGTCTAGACCGGAGCCCAAAGACGCGAATTTCGCTTCAGGAGTTACTGGACCATCCCTTCCTGCATCCCAATCGGCGCAAGCACTCGCCGCCCAAGGTGGTGGAGCGAGCTCTGCCGCCACCCTGCGGCGTGGCGTCGGGAATGGGAGCCTTGACGGAGGAACAGATTAAAGCAATCCTGCAGGTGGGCGCCGGTTCGGTGTCCTTGTGTTGGTAGCTTTCTGCAGGTGCTTAAGCCATGTGCGTACTATGAAAACATTGCCATGCGCTTCAGCTGAGAAATCCATTTTTCCGTGTTGTGTATCTTGCAGCTGGGCGTTGGTGGTGGAGGCCCCACGGACCTGGACAGCATCGCACGGCGCGTTATGCTGCAGCTGAGTGGCCGTGAGGGCGCTGTGGGGGCGGCTGGAACGAGCATGGTGACCGATTCCGTTTCACAACCAGCGGCACAATGCGGCGCGGGTCGATTAGTTGAGGATGCGCCGCCATCGTATCCGAGTGCGGCACTGGCGCGCCCGCCACCACCGCCACCCCCTCCACCGCCGCCGCCCTTTCAGGCGGGTCTATCGCGGGCGCCACCACCACAGCCATTGCCAGTAGCTAAGCCACCGGCAGCGGGTGGCGGCCTGCTGGATAGTGCAGCACGGCCTGCAGGGCATCAGCGTGCAGTGCAGCCCGTGCCACAACCGGCACCACGGAGCGGCTCCGGCCCTAGCGGCATGGGTGACATCGCAGCCATGGTAGCCGCTGCGGCAGCAAAGCGGTAAGTCTACATTGTGTGCAGTGCATCAGGGAAGGAAGTTTCAAGTTTACTTTTGTGTATCTCCTCGCGATTAGGCGCCTTATAGAGGCGTCCCAGGTCGTGCACTAGACAAATCCTTTCCGTTGTTCCCTTACCTCTTTGTTGCAGGGCTCTAAGGCCGCCAGGGGACATGAAGGAAGACAAAGTTAAGTCGAGAGCGCCTACACGCGCAGCAGCATTGCCTGTCGATCGGCCGCCCAGCGACCGGCCCGCCAGCGGCAACGGCTTCATGCCTCTCGCCGGCGCCGAGCTTCAGGCGGCCATATTGCAGCAGAGGGCACAGCTCCGTCCGGTGCAGGAGCAGCCGACGCGAAGCAATTCGCAGCCTCAGCTGCACGGTAGGGCTGGCGGTGCTGTAGCGGGTGAGGCCGAGGGGGTGCTTGAGGCTGTGCTACGGCGGGGCCTCGAGCGCTTCCATTTCAGCGACACCGGCGATACGCTTTCGAACACAGGGGACTTCATGGAAGCTGCCATGACGGCTAAGCAGAGGGAGGGTTAACAGTGCGGATACTGCGCCGAGAAGACAGCGTAGCTAGCCGTGTTGCGTCTCGATAGGCAGCCTCTCGAAGCTACTAGGGTCCTGCTTGCGGAGAAGGTAGGCGCAGGGCTACTGGTGTCTCTCTGAGGTGGATTTGTGTACGGCTGGTTAGGTTGCAGTCGGAGTGTGTAAATTTCTGGAGGGTTTTGAGCTGTAGCCTCTGCGACAGCACGGGGCCTGGGATATAACGCCCTGAGGTTTGATAGTAAATGGATAGCCCTGTGGGGCACCTTACGACTTGTGAATCTGCATGACAGTTGTTGAGGAAGGGTGGCTTTCCTCACTTTATACTGTCTCAAACGCACGTGCTTTCCTATATTCAAGAACTTGTCGAGCGTGGAGTGCAAAAGGTTAGGGAGGCTCTCCTGCCCTTCCATACCGTGCCGTGCAGATCTGCGAGCTTGACGATGGGTGAGGACGATTCATGTGTGTCATAGTAAGGCATGTCTGTTTGGCGATTTGGAGACGCGCGGAACCGTGCAAAATGGACGGCCTTGCCATTTCGGGATAGCGGAATTAGGTTCTTGAGGGCGGTGGCCTAGTTTCTCAGCTGATATATGGTTGCTGAGGGGGTCGCAAGAACCGCACTGGCACACAAATGGAACCTCTGTGTCACGTTTTGACCGCAGCGTTGGAGTTAAATCCAACTAAAACTCAATTTATTGACTTTCGGCTATACGTGGCTTTATGCTCTTTGGCCGTGTCCGTCCGAAGGATACCGCGTGCCGAAGGTGTTCCTGCCTCCTGACGCTTGCCTCAGTAGTGCAGAGGCGTTAATGGTCGGTGTTTTTGCGGGATGGCCTATTTCACTTGTGGATTACAGTATGGAGCAAGGTGGTCAGGTTTTTAGGGGTTTCGCTTGGATTGGAGCCAGTGTTCTTAAAACGATTTCACCGTGGTATTTTTTTAGGGACCAAGTGGTTACTGTGGGGTTTTTCCTTGGTAACCACCTTCAAAATTTTCCCCCAGTGAGTATGCTGAACTGGAGCCCACTAGAACCATGCATCCGAAGATCCGACTTCACTTGACAAGAAGCCGTCTGAGCAAGCTTTTATCCACTTTGACTCTATGTACGGCAACGCGTTCCCAAGCCGAAGCATCACTGCTCCCATCCAAGCGTCAAAAGCATTTTTAGGTGGTCACTACGGGTCTGTGGCCAAATTTCTTGGCGACCACCTGGTTACGGGCAGGTGACTCAAAACATTTCCCAGTGACCACCTTTTGGAAGGGAATAAACCACTTGGTCACTAGTAACCACTTTTAAAAACACTGATTGGAGCAGTAGTCAAGAGGCGTTATAGCTCCTCTCCTCAACGGTTGCTTGCGGTGGATTCAAGGAAAGAGCTTTGCATAACGGCCATCGCCCAACATTTGGCTTAACGTGAACCCCTGCTGCCAGAACGTTGTAAAAGAGACGCGCCTGTGAAGCTTTGTCACATTTGCCTGGATTACGTTTAGCCGCAACACGCACGGTTTCCACTGCGGCACGGAGTAATGGCGCCAATTTTTCTTGTCACTGCCCCCACCTACCGCCGGTCACTTCGCTTGCATCGTAGGCGGTCATCTCAAAGGCCCGAAAACACCAGGATAATCCAATGCAAAGGGTGGAGCTACTGACTGGACGCCCACGGGAAATCAAAGGGCTTTGCAGTTCACTGTACGGGAGCATACCCTAGGTGAGCAGTACGCGGTACAGTGGCCAGGCTACTTGACCAGAGGTGACCTGCTTTCCCTGATGCAGTTCGTGTAGCGCATCTCTTTCAACAATGGCTGGGTGAGGCGGCTGCAATGCTTCCACTTGCAATGCACCTCGCATCGCCCCGTTGCCGTACCTGCGTCAGTGTTTTGGCTGCCGTACCTGCGTCAGTGTTTTGGCGCGATGACTGTCAAGTTATGCTCCGCCGCAACGCAGACATAATTCAAGGCGACTCACTCACTTAACTTTCCGGCACAGTTTACTGACACTAGTAACATACTTTCTGTGAGCGGGTAAGTTTATTTTGAACAGCTCCCAAATGTGGGCCTGCTAGCGGAAATCCTCTCAAGTTATACTTCACAAGTTTATCTAGTTATGGACACTTCCGCAACGGAAAAGCCAGAAACGGATGTCGACGTGCCAAGGGCTCTCATCAAGCGCATCGTTAAGGCGAAGCTATCCGCCCTGGCTGAGGACGAGAGCAAGGATTTTGGGATAAGCAAGGATGCCCTTACAGCCTTGTCGGAAAGCACCAAGGTGTTCATCAGCCTGATTGCGTCGACTGCGAACGACATTTGTCAGGAGAAGCGCCGGTGAGCTATGTCATCTTTATCTAGATAGTGAATTCTGTTGTTGTGGATACCATGTTAATATCGAAGCCTGGGGTGATGTGCATTATCCCACGTCTTGCGTGCTGTGCCCCGAAAAACCCTCTAACCTTCAACACCCTTACCGTTTCTCCCCGACAGCTCCACAGTCAACGCAGATGATGTTTTTAACGCTCTTCAAGACCTGGACTTTTCAGAACTTGTGGCGCCGTTAAAAGAGCAGCTGGAAGGTACGGCCCCTTGGTTACGTGCTCTATCGTGTCTGCTGATGATCGCCATACCATGTCAGCTGGATGGCATTGCGTACATTGAGCTTGAGCTATTTCTAACCTAGGCCACGACCATTGCCTCCCGCTATACACGCGCCCCACTCCCTCCAGCGTTCAAGGAGGCTGTCAAGGAACGAAACAAAAACAGGCCCTCCAAGAAGCGCAAAAACACCGTAGACGCGCAGGTGGCTGTTCCCCGAAACCTTAAGCAGCAACAGTACATGGCTCAGCACCAAAACCAGCACGCAGCTGTGGCGGCAGCCCCCGCCGATGCTGACGCTGACGCAGTCGGCGGTGTTGGTGAAGTCCTAGACGGGGGGCATGGCAGTGTCGTGGATGCCGGTGGGGAACCAGATGAGCTTCAACACGATGCAGCCGCTTTGGACGCCGACGTGACGGCGGACGTTTTGGGGGGACCCGCAGACGATGACGGACTTGGCGGGCTTGGTATGGGCATGGGCCTCGGCCTGGTTGATAGTGATCCGACTTGCCTGGGTGACCCCTCGGACGTGGGCGTGGAGGTGGAGGACATGCTAGTGGATGCGCCGCCTTAATGGCTGACCGCAGCGCTTCGCTTGCATATGGGACAGGTGACAGCGGAGCAGGAGGGTGGGCTGTGCAAGTGGGCATTGAGAGCAACATTCAGGACACTGCGACAATGCTGCAAGGGAACTATTGTAGAGAACGAGCACAGCTTAAGGAAATGCCAAAGTCGGCATGGTTGTTTTCTTTCCTGGTCTTGTCTGTGTGCCGTGTCGCCAAAAAGGGGAATCGTGATTAGTATTTCGGTGCTCTCCTTGTGGGCAAGGAGTTGTAGGACGACCGCACGGTCCGTGAAAGCCGTATCGCCAGCCGAGGGTGCTTGTTGTGCAGGGGTTTTATCGTTCTGCAGGGGAACATGGAGGCGTAGGCCGGGCTAGCCGGGCCTCGCTGGATGTGCCTTTCCTTGCATGTCACTCTCTAACCCCCGGCTGATTTAAGCAGGGTTGACTCTTGCCAGGACGCCGCCCGGTGGGAGACTTAGCACATATGGGTCTGGCTGGCCGAATTGCCATTGGGCTGAGGTTTGTATCTAGCAGTTCAGCAAAACCAGTAAACCCACATTCGTTCGCCTGCTGACCCAGCCATAGTTGGTCATCAGCAGCTTCTGGGTCCCGTTTTAGTTACGTCTCCGCAGCCAAGCATTTCCGCCCCGGTCGGGCAACGAAGGTCGGCCAGCAAGCAAGACACTGATGGAGACTGTCTCGGCCTTGACGTTGGCGCCGGACGGGTTGTGGGTACGGCCTGTACCGCGTAAGCAATTGTAGTTTGGTGCAGGAGGAGATGGCGGCCTCCACAGGGCGGCTCTTGCACCGGAAATCAGCTGCCGCTGCGCAGCACCACACGTCATACCTGGATGACGCAAGCAGCTGCTGCCGTACAAGTATAGAGCTTCAGATGGCAATATGCATTCTGGGCGAATGAGCGAATGAATCATGAGCCGTGAGTCGGCCCCTGCGTTGCGGCTCGGAAAGGAGGGTCACAGACCGTAGCTAGCGTGTCCAATATGTTAGGGCAATGCAGGGGCCGCTGTATGGCAGGTGTTGCTGAACTTTCGCACGTTTTCGAACCCCACCGTGTGAAGGTGTCGTGGTAATCGGGTTGGGAACAAGCATTGTTGGGTTGGTATTGCATGCTTGTAGCAGCTGAGCGGTGTTAACTGGCGAAGCAAACCTCTTCAGTCACCCAAGGATAACATCCTCACAGTTTGCCTGTCATCGCGGTCCGTCCACCACCCCGTGGGGGGGAGAGGGGTTTTACTCCTCTTTCCGGCTACTCTGACCAACGACCACCAATTCCGCAGCCCAACCGATTGACCAGCCAACTATTAACAAGCAACCAACAGATATATAAGCCAAGCTAATAACCAACCAACCAGCTCGCCGAAGCAGCACCTATCCCCTCTCAAACAACACTCACCGCCGCCGCCGCCCATTCCAGCTAGGAATGCAACCTACATCCACACCTACCCAAGGGAGTGACAGTGTCAATGGCCATTTCCTTGGGAGAGGGGTTTTGGAGCCTCACCAGTGTCACCACCCACTCTGCCTCAACCACTGCACCCTTAGCCCCACCACCCGTGCGCTCTCCCTCCTAGACTGCAAAACTAACCCCGTCTCTTGCCCCCCCTTGGGTTGCCTGCAGCGCGTCTTGGTACACCGCTGCCATCTGCTCTAGGATCCGCTCATGCTTCTGCTATTGCTGTCCTGCCTTGCCCGCCCCGTCCTGCTGTGCCTTGTCCGCCTCTTCCGCCTGTTTTGACGAGACACTGACATCCACCCCCACCGGCACGGTGCTGTTAAGGGCGGCGGCCACCAGGGACACCGGGGCTGAGGGGGGGCGGGGAGGAAGGGGAAGGGGGGAGACGGGGAGGGGAGGAAAGCGGTCGGAGGGAGGGGGGCAGGAAAAACGGAAAAAACGTGCCTGAGCGAGGATGACGAGGGGGCTGGAGGGACAGAGCCAGGGAGAGGAACGTGCAGGTGAAGGAAAGGACACGAGGAACCTTCAAGACACTCTGCAGAGAGAGGAAGGGCGGGGTGAGAAGAGCGGTAAAAAGGGGGAACGGTAAAATATGTGGGGTTTGTGGGGTGGGGGGTTGTGGTTGCGCTTTGTACAGGTTCTTACCGAGCTGTACCGCGTGTGTGTTGCCCACTGCACGACTCCACTGACACAACACACAAACCACACCTACATACACACGTACAAAGTCCTGGACCTCCCCCCTCACGTTGGAATGCCCTCATCTTATCGATGAGCTCCCCGGGGTCTGCGGACACGATGACGTTGCTGTGGTGGGGCCGGACAAAGCCCTGTCCAGGGAGGGAGGGAGGGAGGGAGGGGACCTGACCGTACTGGGTGGCGGCTGGTTTGTTCTTCAGGGTCGGTTCGGTTGTGGCTCCGGCCCAGAGAGAGGTGCTATCTGTGTTGGAGGTGGAGGTAGGATCTCCCCCTTGGGTATCCCCCCGGTGATTGACGGGGCGGATGGAGGGGGCTTGCCGTGGACGGATCACGGAAAGGAAGGAGGGGGGGGAAGGGGGGAAAAGGAGGAGTTGACGATGCGCCGGGGGGAAAGACGAACCGCGAACGAGTGAAGCGCCGGTGGGGGGGGATGGTCGGGGGGATTGTGTTTATCCCGGCACAACACAGTCACCTCTTCCACCTGCTAAGCCCAGGACAGGTCGAGAGCCAGCCACGCAAGCAGGGAGTCCGTGCTTCCCTTACTGCCCCTCTTTCCTGCCACTGGTGCGCACACACTCCCCCACCACCACCACTTGGCGCACCTCTGTGACCGCATGTCCAAAGAAGGCCAGCAGCGGGTCGAAGAAGCCGTTGACATTAAACAGCGCCACTGGTTTGGTGTGGAAGCCCAACTGCTGCCACGTCAGCACCTCCATCAGCTCCTCCAGAGTGCCAAAACCCCCTAAGGAGGAAGGGGGGAAGGGGGAACGTAGGAGGGGGGAATTCAGGATGAACCATGGGCGGGAAGGGGGGGGGAAGGAGGGGCTGGACGGAGGCCTGCAGCCCATAACATCCCCCCACCTAGCTTCACCCCCCCCACCTGCCTCACCCACCTGGCATTGCAATGAAGCCATCCGCATGCTGCGCCATCATCGCCTGAGGATGGATGAGTGGTTGGGCAGGTGGGCTACCTGGGGTGAGCCCACGGTGCGGTGCGGTGTGATGATGTGTGTGATGATGGGGTGTCCACCATATCACACCGCTACAATGTACAGCACAAATCCAGGGGCCCCGATCGCCCACCCAGATTAACAACATTTCACGCACCGCAGCAGCCATTGTTGCTGCATCAACGACCCCAGACTGCACACGCCGTACCTTCCGGGTGTGCATGTCCGCAACGATGTGGGTCCTGCCGATCAGTGTGCCTGATACCTGGCGGTTGGGAGTTGACGGGTTTCATAAATAGGCTGCAGATATCAACTGTCAACTGTCACTCCACGGGCCAGGCGGCAAATGAGAGATGGTTGGCCCTGTGCCGCCCTTGAGAGGGGGTGCGCCGTCTCTCTAACGACTGCACACCACAGTCCGACACACCGCAGCCGCACCTTGAGCGGTATCTGGCAACATCCCCCCCCGCTAAGTCACCGCTAGCAGCTCAAGTCCCAAAACCTCTCTCCTAAACTCCGCCAAGTAGTTCTCCGGAGACGCCCCCCTGGTCCCCACCCCTCCCCAACCGCCCTCTACCTAACCACCGTCGCCAACCCCACACACACCCAACCCCACACACACCCAACCACAACCAGACACATATGCATACATTTTTCAGTGTCTGTCTAGTTGGGACCTTAGGTACCCGCGTTATCTATAGTCGGTTCTGGTCGCCAACAACACTCTCGCGCCTCTCCACTACAGCTCCGCACATTTATATGGATTGTTGATTTCACATCAGCTTCTGTTCAACATCTCCTTGGTGAATCCAAAATTCAAGCTGTGTCTACATTTTCTCCTGGAAAGGGCTGGACACGTCGCTGGACCACGGAGCTGCACCAGTAAGGGTATTCGCGTACCCATCATCGGCCTGTTCCCGTATCGATATGCTCACATGAACTCTATTTAAAAGCACACACGCAGCTTTCCCAATCTCACCCCCCTGGGTGAGTCCGCACCTCCCTGGGCGCCAGGGCCTCGGGCAGGACTCCAAGAACTCCCTCATCCCCCAGGCCCCCCTGGACGGTGCGAGCTACTTCGCCCATAAGCCCCACAGTGCCGCCTGGTTCAGGAGGGACCAGGAGGGGAAGCAAGAGAGCAGGGATCGCCAACACAATGGTAGATAATCTGCTTTCTTCCGAAGCTTAGTTAATTCCAGCCATTACCGCCATGCCGCCAGGATCGGCGCGAGGACAAAAACAGGCCAGGAACAAGGGGTTGCGGGTATGTAGCGTCGGAGCACCCAGGGGGAAAACGTGTCATGGTGAAGTCGTCGCGTAACGGAAGGGGGGGGTTGACGGTAGAAGCTCAATAACATATGGCCGGATATAGTCCGGATTGGCGACCCGAGGGGCCTGCGGCCAGCTACATGTTCCCCCACTGCCGCCGGCGAAGTCCCCGACCGGGTGGTAGCAGATATCACGTCTGTGTTTTGTGGGGGCCTGGTGGCTGTCCTGTCGCGTTCAGTTAGGTCGGAGTCCTCTCGCGATTACACAGCTGCAGCATGCGAGGAAGAAGAGAACAGGTCGGCATGGACGGACACTTCACTTCCAGCGTGTGCGCGCCATGCAAAAAGCAGAGCCCCGCGAAAATGTGTCATATGACAGTGCTTAGAACCCTTCATGCCCCTCAGGCCAATCCTTAGGACGCTGGTATATACGTTCTCCCTGCACAGTTGCCCATATCCGGGCCATCCCCCGCCCATCCCCTCACCGCCATAGACAAGGCCAATGTTCTCTCTCACGAAGCATTCCCCGAGCTGTTTAGCAGACGCCATATATACGGGGTCAGTGCCCGTGCTTGCGCCGCAAAAAACACAAAGCTTACGAAGCTCGCGAGTCGCCATTCGATCACCAACGGTCAGGGGGTCAATGTAACCAGGTTCGCTTTTGTGTGTTTGAGTAGGAGGGCGGTTCTGAATCCTCAAGGTAGGTCCACGCAAGGCAGCTTTTAGCGGTCCACAATAGTCGTATTTGCCGACCGACAGACGCGCATGATCTACGCAAGCATGCATGTGATACAACAAAACGACTTCTTAAAAATACGGCTACAAAAGGATTGTCTTTACAAACATATCACCTCGCTGGAAAACTTGACGTACCCGCGCTTTGACAACTTTTTACTACCTACTGCCACAGTATGCCACCTGACCGGAGCCCCCAAAATTTCATTTATTAAACTTGATATCTGTTTTATTTGTACGTTTATTCATAGAATGCCATAGGGCATCTATCCCATTAGCCATCTCGCAGCGACGCTGCAATGGACCATAGACGCAAACACGCTGGGCATCGATCCGCCGCTGATGGCGATCAGGAGGCTGGGGATGCTCGGCTTTCTGGAAGCCACAACCCAGGGCATCGACGGTCTCGCCTTAGCACGGTGGCATTGCTGTCGTTTGGCCTCGTGGTCCTCTTCGTCAGCATCGTCATTGTCGTCCACTTTTCGCACGTTAGTACGATAGAAGCTGCATCCTCGAAGGTGAGATGAGCCCATAGGCCTGGTACAAAGTGCTCGTGCCAGGTTTCCAGTCCGTTGCTGTGTCGTACAGGGCTTATGGTTTAACCTGTAGCCACCCAATATAAGGCCTCCACCCGGACATGATGGCCTCCATGATTTCGAAATCTTTACAAGCTGGTCGCGAAATGGCGCTAACACATATCAGTAACCCGGGTCAGCTTTTACTCCCCGCGGCCCGGCCTTCTGCGCGATGGTGGCTTAAGGTTTAGGGTTAGGTTAAGTGGGTACCCTACCCCAACCGAACAATCGGCTAGCAGCGGCCAGCACCACTGCTCAGGGCCGTCCCAGGGCTTCCCCTATCCTCCCGCTTCCCCTTGCCACCCTCCCTTATTGAACACCGAGAATCTCTATTTTTGCATTTCCTTAAGCCTCCGCCTACCCCGCCTCCAATCCAGTCCCGTTGCATCCCTACCGGCAGCATTCCAATCGTACAGAAAGAAAGAAAATAAGGATGTCCCAAAGCAGTCCAAAGAAGAGGCAAGCTCGTTCCCTTTCGCAGAGCTGCTGATGTCCCTGACTGTTCATAAGCAAAAGCCTCTACCCTCCCCTTTCCCTCCGCTACTCCTGCGGCGCAAGACCTCTGCCACAACCGCCGCGCGTCCCCTGCCATAGTCCTGTCGTGTGTTTCGGGCCAGGCGGGTGCGGCGATGTGCCTTTACCTGTGAGATCCGCTGCCGCTTTTCCCCTTTGATGGCAGAGGCCTCCCCACAGCTGCCCCCATGTCGTCTGCACCCACACCGACCCACACCGACCCACACCGACCCACGCCGACCCACGCCGACCCACACCGACCCACACCGACCCACATCATAATCCCCCGCACTAAACAGGTTCAGGTGGTTAGCGAGGATGCAGTGGTGCTGCGCCGGGAGGAAAGGGAACTGGCGCCGGGAGCTAAGCAGGAGCAGCAGCAGGGCGCGAATCCTGGACTTGGAGATGAAGACGATGATGGCGCGGCGAATGACGAGCCTGTAGACAAAGGAGAAAAGGATGACGACGGCGCGGCGAATGACGAGCCTGTAGACAAAGGAGAAAAGGATGACGACGGCGCGGCGAATGACGAACCTGTAGACAAAGGGGAAAAGGATGACGACGGCGCGGCGAATGACGAGCCTGTAGACAAAGGAGAAAAGGATGACGACGGCGCGGCGAATGACGAGCCTGTAGACAAAGGAGAAAAGGATGACGACGGCGCGGCGAATGACGAGCCTGTAGACAAAGGGGAAAAGGATGACGACGGCGCGGCGAATGACGAGCCTGTAGACAAAGGAGAAAAGGATGACGACGGCGCGGCGAATGACGAACCTGTAGACAAAGGGGAAAAGGATGACGACGGCGCGGCGAATGACGAGCCTGTAGACAAAGGAGAAAAGGATGACGACGGCGCGGCGAATGACGAGCCTGTAGACAAAGGGGAAAAGGATGACGACGGCGCGGCGAATGACGAACCCTTAGATAAGGGCGATAAAGATGAAGATGAGCCTCAGGGCGACGTGTTGGCTACGGGCGGCGATGGAATGGTCACCCCCGTCGGCGACAACGACGATGACGGTGCCCAAAACGACGCTCCAGGGAACCTAGACGAGGATGACGACACGGCGGAGGAGGGCGCCGCCGCCGCTGGCGCGAACACCACTGTTGGCGGCGGAAACCAAAGTGCTGCTGCCGCCGCTGCTGCCATCGATGTCGGCGCGGGCGCCGACGGCAGCAGCGTATCTGCATTAGAGGGCTCTTCGCGTCCCGGAGCGGTTGACGGCAGCACGGACTATGACAATGACAACGACCAGAGCGACTTGTACGTGGATGTGGACCCCGATGTGGAGGACTACGACGCCAATCAGGACGTGGACCCCAAGAAACTGGTGCAGAGGGGGCAGTCGCAGAAACAGAAGCAAGGCGAACAGGAGCAAACGCCGCAAAAGCAGAAAGCGGAAAAGCAGGATGTTGAAAAGGCGGGGCAGCAGGAGCAGCAGGTAAGGCTGGGGTGGCAGGTAGGCGGCCGCGGGGAAGGAGCTGCTCTGCGGAGGGATGGTGGGAGGTGGGGTTTCGTTACGGGCTGGAGGGTAAGGAAGAGGGCTGGACTGGTTGACAGAGCCATACCTGCAGATGTACACACAGACACACACATCTCGACGGGTCCGGGGCAGCAGGTGGCCGTAAGCGCACGTCCTCGCCAGCGTCAGTGCGCTTCAGGGGGATATGCATGTGGTGGCTTACACTGTGCAGAGAGCACCAGGCCTGGCGTGCCGGCATTAGCCCCTCCCGACGGATGGACGGGTGGGTGGGTGTGGTGGTGGGGGCGCCTACTCGCGCAGGGCGGCCCTGCGCCTCCTCCCGCCTACCCTGCCCGGCTGCGCCACCACCAACCACCACTACCATCTCCACCACGACCTCCACGACCTTCACGACCTCCCGTGTGGAGTTCATCTCTGAATTATTATTCGGAGACTTGGGTCCTTCGTTCTGTGATGGCCCTGCTATTTTGGAAGTCCACACGCCCCGTCCAAGGTATTACAAGTTACAAGTTACCACTTGTAACTAACACACCCCGTCCGGTTGCGTCCCCCCTCCCGGGTGACAAATGGGACCCCGCATTGGGGACGGATGACGTCAGCCCTATCTGATCTCTCATTCAACCGCCCCTTGTTGCCCCTTGTGTTTCTGTGTTGTCCTCCTTCCCGGTGTGGCGGGGATTTCGTGTGGAACAACTCCGGCAGCAGCAGCAGCAGCAGCAGCCCCCGGCGGAGGGGGCGGCAGCGGAGGCGGTGGTGGAGGTGGAGGGGGCGCCCGATGGCTGCGGCTCCCTTAGTCGTGAGCTGTTGGCCCAGTGGGCCGTGAACAACACCGTGATGGTCGCCTTCACGAACTCCATCATGTTCAGGAACTTCGGGCCCACATGGCTGCACCACGTGCGGAAGGCTGGGATCAAATACTGGGTGGGTGGTGGGTGGTGGGTAGTGATGCCGTCCTTGCTCATGTGCCTGCATGTGCCCCTGTGTGGTTGTTTCTCTCTCTCTCTCTTAACGGCCCGCGTGGGCACTCGCTACACCTCTCTGGGTAATGCAACCGAGGTGTAGCACACACACAGACACATACAAGTACCTGAGCAGGGAGAAAGGGGGGCGTGTAATAATGATACGGGATGCGTGAAACTGGGAACCGTGTTCGTATGTGTGTTTGTCGCGCACTGTCGTACCCACCAAACTGACTGCCGTTCTGCAGGTTCTGGCGGTTGCTGACAACGACACCGCCAAGCTGGTCCGGAATTACGGCGCCGATCACTGCTTCCTGGTGCACGAGAACGAGATTGATGACACGGCTGCAGGTAGGGGCCAGGCAGGGAAGCGGGGCTCCCTACTGGCGTGGGCCAGCCCTTGGGACGCATCGCAGTGGTCAGGAAACTCCCGACCCGCTCCTCTTCCCTCCACGTACCCCCCTTCTACTGGCACCTCGAGCTTTTCCCCCCCCCCCTCTCCGTCTCTTCTCCCCCCTCCCCCCCGGGGCCCCATAAGCAGATTTCAAGTGGGGCAGTCGCAGCTGGCAGCTGCACACCTGGCAAAAGGTGCTGACCGTACGGCACGTACATATGTTGGGCTTCCACGTCATCAACTCCGACATGGACGTCGTCTGGCTCCGAAACCCGCTGGAGCACTTTTTGGTGTAAGTGATCTCTCCCTCCCGCCCTCCCTCCCTTCCTTCCTCTCCCTGGAAAGATATGTAGTTGAGGGCAGAAAAGAAAGAGCGAAGGACCGGGGCGCAAGAGGGGAGGGGAGGGGCACCTGGAGAGCGGGCGGGCGGGCCGATGCCCGGTACTTGGGGGGGGGGTCGTATTCTCGCCTTCTCCTTATGTAGCTGTTATCTTTCAACCCTGACACCGCCCAAGCCTCCCAGCCCCCCGTAGCTGTCCTAGTGGAGGCATTCTGAGGGAATGTCGCCTTCCTCCCTCTCCCTTGCTCTCCTGCGTGTGCGCTGTGTGCTGCTTGGTCCCCGTGCCCCGTGGTCTGCTGCTCCCCCTCCACTGCTCTCTGCGCTTGGTGGACCACTGGCGGACCCCAGACACTTGGATGCTTCCTGAACCCGGCCAACCCCCGTGTCGCGTCCCCCCTATCAGTCGACACCTCTTTAACTGATACCTAGCGTTGGCGTCTCGGCGTGTGGCATATGTCCTCCTCAACTCGCGCCCACATGGAAATGTCGCTGCCGCAGAGCCTTCCAACCCTACTGTCCCCCACTTTGAACCTGACGTACGGACGGCAACATTGTCAACTTCGCGGTATCGTTAAAGTCACGTAAACTTAAGTGACGTCTGTTTTCACTTTTGTCCGCTCGTTCATTCCCGCCCTCTCCCGGCCCCCTGCTGGGCCCCCACCATTACCTACCTCTACCCACTTACCGCCCATCTCCCCCCTGTCTTCTTCCCCCCAACCATGCACATACATACTTACATACATCCGCACCCCTCAGCAAGTACACGGAGCCCGACTACTGGGTCTCCATGGACCCCATCACCACCGCCAACCCCCTCGGGGACGATGGCCCGGAGCTGGGGGTCAGCACCCACCACTACATGAACACGGGTACGGGGAAATGGAGGAGAGGAAGGAGGGAGAAGGGGACCAGGGAAGGGGAAAACAAAACAAAACAAAATCGGCAATAGAAGGAAGAGGGGTTCGTCGCGGTTGGATGGGTTGCGGTCGTCGATTAATAGTTCGGTTATTATTTCACATGGAAGGGGACCTTTCCTTTTTCTAAGTTTTATCGTAACGCAAAACTTAAAACTCCGTCACGCCCTCGGCACCTGATGCTGTAACCTGTCATTATGTTTTTTGATTATGATACTATTATCATGCCATTATTTAATCATAATAATTATTATGTCAGAATTATTGTTGATGTTTGTTGCTGTTATTCTGGTTGAAGGTGTTTACTTTCTGCGCCAAACCCCCGGCGGTCGGGCGCTGATTGACAAGTGGTATGAGATCCGCTCGGAGATGCAGAAGACCGGCTTCCATGACCAGGACGGACTCTACAATTACTTCAAGGATAGTGGCCAGGTCGGTGGGGTGGGGTGGGGTGAGGTTGGGGGTGAGGTTGGGGGTGAGGTTGGGGGTGAGGTAGGGGGCAGCAGGCAAACTGGTGGGTGAGATGCATGCCTTATGTGCGCGGGTGGTATGGGTGTGTGCGGGTGGCCTCAAGGGACGTAAGGTGGGACCAACAGCTTGAACGTCCCCGCGTGTGTGTATTTGGGGATGTGGCTATCCCAGAGCCCCCTCCCTCCCTCGCTCACTCTCTCGGGTCCCCTCCACGTCTCAAGGGTAGTGGGGTTTCCTCGGAGGGGTGAGTTTGCGTGTTTTTTGAGTAGTACGGTAGGATGGGGTGGAGAGGGCAGCTACCTGCCAGTCGTTCATCACCACTGGACTCCTAACCCCTAGCTATCTTTGGTCCCTCCTCCCCCTCCCCCCTTTCCGCCTCCGCCCTTCAGCTTGTACGGCAGGACATCAGGGTGACCCTGGTGGTGGAGGGCAAGACCAAGCTGGCCCAGCTGCCCGCCACTCTCTTCCAAAACGGCTACTCGCACTGCATCAACCAGATACACAAGGTAGGCAGGAAACGGGAGATGGGGTGCGAGGGAGGGTTCGGTGGGGCATGGCTTGGGCTGTGATGCGTGTGTTTTGTTGGGGTGTGGGGGGGGTTGCGCGTGTGTGGGGGTGTGGCAGCGGATGTGTGGGTGCGGGTGTGGTTTCCGCAGGGATAGCAGTAGACGGGGAAAGAGGGTTTGTTGTATATGGAGGCTGTGTGGGGACTGGTTGAGAGCTGCCGGGAAAGGAACCGGAACCGGCTAAGAGCTGGCAACTGCCCACTGCTGCCTCGCTGTAAGTAAAATTGAGCTGGATCGGTTTGCGTGTACCGCCGAGCTCTCCTCACTCACTAAGCGGGCGAGAAGGAAAGGGGAGGAGAGGCCGGTGGGGAGTATGAAAGGGAGGGTGAAGTGTTTCTCCTGGGTGCACTGTTCTGGTCGACTAGGCTTTTGTTATGGCGACCTACCCTGACACACGTGGGCCCTTTGCTCTGTCCTGCAGGTCCACGGTCTTCAGCCGTTCGAGGTGCACTTCGTGTGGGTGTGGGGCGGCAACGCCGGGAAGATCAGCCGCATGCGTGAGCAAATGTGAGCGAGGAAACATCCCGCTGGTGGTGATGGGGGGTGGGGGAGCGGAGGAGGTGGGGGATCTCGGGGCCGGGGGCAGGGCCTGAGGCTTGTAACGCCCCAGGAGGGGCAGGAAAGAAGAAAAGAAGGTTTGTGTGCGGGTCGGAGGGACATTGGCAGGATGCGGTGACGTAGATGTAGTAGTAGTAAATGCTCTTCAATTATGTGATGTGGATGTGAACCTAACGTTTCAATGGACGTCCGCTGCAGGAGGCCTTTACATGCAGTGCATGCTCGCGCTTTCGTGACTCTTCCTTAGCCCTCGTTCCCCAATACCCCAACACCCCAACCCCCGGTGTTCTGGCCCCCCGGTGTGCTGTCTCGGGTCGGTGTGCGCAGGTACTACATTGATCCGCCATCGTACTATTCGGATGGGTACTTCCTGTCGTACGACGTGGAGCCAATCCAGGTCCGGTTGCAGATCTCACGCGGCTCCACATCCGCCGCGGCCCTTGCGGACCTCCCGCTGCTTTTGTTGCTGCTGCATTTGCTGTCTTGCAAGATGGTGCTGGTGCTGGTGCTGGTGCAGGTCCTCAGCGTTGTGCAGCTCCTTACCCATGCGGGGCCCCCCCGCCGTAACCAGCTCCGAGCCCACTGACCCCCCGCCACCCCCCCACCCCCACTTGCCCCACCCTCCGTAGGATCCGGCGGGATTCAACGAGTGGCGGGACACGGAGGTGGGCGGCTGTGGTGGGAGCTGTGGTGGGGTTGGGGCGGTAGCTGGAGGAAAGGCGGGGAAGGGGGGTGCAGGGATGTGGGTGCGGGTGCGGGGGCCCGGGACCAGGTGCCGGTCGCACAGGCCGGGTTTCTGGACTTCCTGGTTTCTTGGCGGTGGAATTAAACTCTTATACTAATGCCGACGAGGACACGTCGCTCGCTTCCGGCGGGCTGTGCTGTGCTGTGCAGCTTCCCCGGGCCCTCCGGCAGCTGGGTCTTCCTTTCCCTGCGGAAAGGGTGGATGGGGTCTGTGGGGCTGTGGGTGGTGGTGCTCGGCCTGCCCCGGATAGCTGTCTGACTGGTGCCTTGATGTGTTGGTGAGCTGGCTGGTGCGCGCATGTGACTCTCTCCCCACGTGCGGCTCATCCGTCCCCACCGCCAACCAACCCGCGGGTGCTTCGGCCGCCACTGATCCCACTGGTCCCCCTGATCCCCACCCTAACCCTCTCCCGCGCAGGCCATGGTCGAGACCCACCTGACCGCTCTGGACAGCCAACTGACGGACACTTGGTACGGCCTGGCGCTGGCGGCCCTGCTCAACCGTACTGTCGTACTGCCGAAGGTGCTGCGCAGCCGGGAGGAAGGGGGGCTGTGGGAATGGGGAAAGGAAGGTGGACCGGGTGGGGGTTGGAGGGGTGTGTGTGTGTGTGTGTGTCTCGGCGCTCCTCGTGCTTTTTAAGCAAGTGTTATGTGGACAGCAGCAGCACTACCACTACTCAGGAGTCGCAGCATCAGCACCAGGGGCTGCGACGGAGCGCTGACACCTGGATGACCTGTAATCAGCTCTCTACACACCGCCCCATGCTGCCTCCCTCCTCCTCTGCTGATGCTTCGTCCCCTGCCCCACCCGCCGCTCCTGCTGCCGTTTATTCTTATGCCTACTTACTTGCTGTCCTCGCCTTGCCCTGTGCACCCTGGGCCCCCTTGCCTGGCTCTGTGTCGCCCCCCTCCCCCTCCCCCCCCCAGATGAAGTGTTTCTGCATCCAGAACTGGTTTGAGAACCCGCAGTGCCGACTGCCCGGTGAGCCGCACACGCGCTTCCCGCTGGCTCCCGCCTGCCCCGCGGACTATGTGTTCAACATGGACGCGCTGGCCAGCTTCAACGTGTCAGGGCGCCGAGTGGAGTTCAGGGAGTTCAGTTTCCTGGACAACGAACGAACGCACGCGGAGGTCAAGGTGAGTGCATGTGTGTGTGTGTGTGTGGGGGGGGGTCTCTTCCGATAGGGGCCTTCCCACCCCCCTCCTTCCCCTCCTAAGTATCCTCCATCAGGTCTGTATCTCCACAGCCGCTGTTCCCCGTCCCTGCCACCGCGCCATTCAGGAACGACCGCTGGTAGTGATCGCCAGTCGCAAGGCCACCGCGCCCAGCCGCGACGGCGACGTGCTCACCATCCCGTCTGGCCTCAAATCCGGCCCACTGCTCGCCGCGCTACAGCCCTTCCTGCAGGCGCCAGCCGCGGACGTCGCGGGTAAAACTGCGGCCAAGAAGGTTACCGGTGCCGCCCCTAAGCGACTGCACTTCCGCAACCCGCGTCTGGCGTTTGGCGGCTGGAGCGACCCCGCCGTGGCTCAGGAGTTCGAGGCGCATGTGGCGGGTTTACCCGTGAGGTGGTGTTGTCGCCCTGATGCGGTGGCGAAGGAGCATAAAGTGGAGGTGCACCACCAGCTGACAATGCACCCCGCAAAGGAGGTGACGAAGGAGGGCGGGGGCGGCTCCGCCTCCGCTGCTACGGCCCAAGCCCGCCTCCGCCTCCGGCTGCAGCACTGATGGGTTTCTTTCATCGCGGGTGGATGGGGCCCTTTTGCTGCGTCTGCGTATGTGCAGCTTGGTTTGGATAGGGAATCAGGAGGCGGAAGGGGACTGGGGGGGGTGTTATAGCGCCGCGTGGTCCTGGTCTGGATGTGGGCCATTCAACTCACAGCCCCAGTATATACCCAAAATCCCATTCAGTACACGGGGGTGGGGAAGGGGATGTCGCGGAGACGGTGGCGAAGGGGAAGGCCTGGGAGTGCGGCGCGTGCGTTAGACGCTTTAGGGGCCATCATCATTGCATGAGGGCCGGGGTGGCATCCGCACACATGGGTTTGGGCCGTACAGGCCGTGATACCGTACATGTGCTTGAGCTGTACAGGTTTTCATCGGACAGATATGCCTTAAAATCCATTCGTCGCATTCTGGTTCTTTTGCGAGCGTAGATTTGAGTAGCCTGTGCGAGTGTGCTGTGGTCATAATAAAGTTCCCCTATGCCACGTGCGTGTGTGTGTATGTTCGTACACACACGTGCACGCGTTCAAGTTGATGCGTGTCCCGGGGAAGTAGGTCGAACGGGGAATGGGTGGTTGAGTTAACAGGAACAGCCGCCTAAGGCTCTAAGGGTACTGCCAATCCTGGGTGGGTCTATTAGGGTTAATGGAACGTGATCATTTATGGTTCATAGCATAAATAAGGAGGAGGCGCGAGCCTCACAACGACAACAACAACAACAACTCATTATACATGCATACGTGCACATGCACATGCACGCTCGGACTTCTAGCTGGAGGAAACGTGCAAGGGGTTGCCTTGGGGTGGGGGTTCATGGCGGAGATGGAGAGGCTGCTGTACTGTAGAGGAGAGCGGACCCCGGTAAGGCTGAGGCTGAAGTTGAGACCGACGATGAGCGCCCCTCCCGGGTCCCGGTAGTGCTGAAAAGACGGCGACTATGGGCGCGGGTGGATGGAGGGGGGAAAAGCGTTGGAAGCGGCCATGTACGCGATCACACCAGGGCCCACAACATTGGGCTGTGATTCGGAGGGAGGGGCCTGCCAGGTATTGTGGAGTGTAGGGTTAGGTGGGAGTGTGAAACATTCAGCTGTGATACGTCTCCAAACCTTATGCCCAGCCGCATTGCAGCCCTGCTAGGCAATACAGGCCAATTGACGCCACAACGGTCCTCCAAGCGGCAGCCAAACGGTAATGCGGAAAGATGATGGAGCCCTCGTTCCTCTTCACCATGGAACACAAGAAGACGTCACAGGAAGTGCATTTGCGTGGAGGCGCTGGGAAGCCTAGGCCTTTGCAAGAGGTTTTACTACACTGGTACCCTGGAGACGGAAGATAGGGGTCACATACGACACACAACCTTCTGCGCCGAAACCACCATTCCTGACGACGTAATGAACGAATGTCGTTACAGCGGATCCCGCCGCATTGGGTTCGGAGGACATGGCGGGCAGTTTGAAACGGCACGAAGGGTCATATCAGATACACGGGCGATGCGTCGACCGCCAGGTACAGCGGCGGCGAGTCGTATGCGGTCGAGGTAACGCAGCAGGAAGGGGGAACACAGCAAGGAGCTGCTTCCAGGGGAAAAGCCTCGTCCAGAATTAGGACCTCCTGGGAGTTCGTGACAGCGGGGGCAGGGGGGAGGAGGGGGAAAACACATGTGGCGCGGGGGGATTGAGCAGTGCAAATTTCGAACTGCGGCTGCAGAGGAGGTCGAGCAAGGAAAGCCAACAGGGAGCCGCGCGGGGAGCAAGCGGCGACGATGGGCAGGAAGGTTCTGGACAAGTTGGGTGTCGGCTTCAAGGAAGCCGGAAAAAGGGCGGGGCCCCTCTGCATCCGTACAGGCCGGTAGCAAGGGTGGCAAGGGTGACAATTGATGGGTAGTGTCAACGCGGTGGGAGATATGCTTTGTTGCAGCAGTGCTGATGGTGTGAGAGCTAAGCTTGCACTGGCGGAATCGTCAGCACCGCCTGCGGGCTCCACGCGAATCGCATCCATTCCGGGTGCATGCCGCATGGACAGTGCGGCAGACCGCAAGTCGGAATGCCCGTGCGGGCAAATGGTAACGAAAGCTGGGTGAATTTCGGTGCTGTCTGTGATGTTTATCCCCGAAGCGCCAGCGGCCTCAGCAATCTGCCCCACAGCCGCGGGGTTCATCGGGGCACACCGCAAGTCTCAGGAGGCCCCGTGCATTGGCCAAAGTAAATGTACAAACAAGGAGCTTGTGTATTTCATAGAGAAATGAAAGCAAATTATGTTGGCCTGCTGGTGGCAAGTCGGATTGCCCATGCCGGCAAATGGTAACACAAGCTGGGTGTTCGAGTTATCATACGCCGTCATCTCAGAATTCCATTGTGAGATACGCGGCAGCTTTTGGGATGAAATTTAGCGCGAGAGGCGTTGATGTGGCTTTTGAGGTCGGTGAATGGAGGCAGCTAAACTTGTTTGTGCTCATACGGTCTTTGTTAGCTACATGCGAGATACCTTGCAATAGAGAATGCTGTATAGTACCGATAACGCGTTTCAGCCGGGTGAAATATTCTGTTTGGTCCGTTACACACTCAAGGCCTGGGAGTTCGAGTTATCATACGCCGTCATCTAAGATTTCAAATATGAGATACGCGGTACCTTTTGAGATGAAATTTAGCGCGAGAGGCGTTGATGTGACTTTGGCCTCGGTCAATTGAGGCAGCCAAACTTGTTTGTGCTCATACGATTTTTGTTGGCTACATGCGAGATACCTTGCAATAGAGAATGCTGTATAGTACCTATAACGCGTTTCAGCCGGGCGAGATATTATGTTTGGTCCGTTACACACACACACACACACACACACACACACACACACACACACACACACACACACACACACACACACACACGGACATGGGCAATCCTACAGGTCGGGGCCCCCCTGGGCGCTTCGCGCTGGGGCCCCGCCCAAAAAGGGGAGTAGAGGTAAGAGGGCAGAGGAAACAGCTTGCTGGTCTGGCACCGTGGTGTGCCTTCGTCATACAATGCCAATCAACGATGCTGCGTATAGATCCTTTGTGATCTTATTCTGAGGCTTCTTTGCCATAGCAGCTACGTGAAATGGTTTGCTGAGCTGAATTGCCCATGTGCAGGGCTTGCGGACCTTCGTACCTCCAATAAAAATAGCTGTAGGTGCTGCAAAGCTCAGTTGTATCTGCACTAGCCATCGCAAAATTGCAGCTGAACAGCCTGAGCTATTTGTTGGTTACACAAAGTGACACTTGCGCAACAACCGACACTACATATGTGTCTGATACCCCGTTTATGATGATAACTGACTTCCCATCCAAACACCGCCTGACGCAAACACTCGGGTTGTGCAAGGAGCCACGATTGCGCATTCCGCTGCGAATGGCGTGTTGTGGGCTACGCGCGTAACTGCGAGTGTAGGAGTATGCACGTGGGCCGCCTGTCACAGCCGGAAACCTCCAGGGTAATACCGTAGGGTTCACACATGCAGGATGAAAGAGCCTTCATAGAGTGTGTTTTCGGGTACGATGTTAGGAAGGGTACGCTTGTGCCTTGGAACTGATCACAGTCATACACACGCATACCTTTCCCAATGCTCAACAGAGCATCTGTTTTAATGTGCTGTGTTTAAATGCTAGCGTCCGGATAGCTTGGGAAGGCACAAGGCGTTTTAACTGCCGCGTTATGTTACAAGTGTTCCTTCAACAATTAACCGCCAGCAACATGGATGTTTACAGCATGTATGCGATTGCTGACTTGTATCTTGTCCTGTTAATGACGCGTCGTCATCTTCCAGCGCGATTAATGCCGATTAATGGGCTGTTGCAGGGCCCGCGGGTCGACTGATTGGCATTTGCCAGTTGAGCTGTGGGGCATGGTTGCATTATGCAAAAGGACGCTTTGCCTATTTGTTCTCCTTAGCACCTGTCGACCAGAGGTCGTGCGAGCCATGGAGCTGCCAGGTTTTCATTTTGGCAACAACGCCTGAAGTTAGGACAAATGATTACACGCAAAGGATGTGAAAACGTTTTCCTTTCCTTTATGAATAACTAAGGGCCGTCCGCGACTGCCTAACTTCGGCTGTGTTGGAGGCCCAAAACTCAGATTTTAAGCCAAGCTCGGAAATTCCCGGGCCTCGTTTTACCTTTATCTTGAGCCTGTCGTCAGCTGGCAAAGTCAAAGGCAAGCTGAGGCCTTGGCCTGCCGAAAATTGCTTACGTTACGACATTGGTCATTGGTCGCGTTGCTTTTCGCTCAACCTATGATTATAAGCAAGAATAACAACTGAAGGAAGCTTGCTCTGTGGGTTGTGAGAGGGACGCCTGGGCTAGAGATCTGTCGCCATGGCGGAGTCGGGTCGGCATGGGCCGGAACACCCGGCACACCTGCACAGCGCTTTTGAAGACCTGGAGGCTCAGGGCACATCGGCCATCTCCTCCAGCAACTACGACAGCGGCATCGGCGAGGGATCCCAGCAACCCCCCGCCGCACCATCTCGCCATCGCCACCGCCATCGCCATCACCGCCATAGCTCCCAGCCTCTGAGCTCCACGGCAGCAACTGCAGCTGCATCGTCCCCTAGAGCTCAGCGCTCCAGGGGCATCCACGCCACCGCTTCCAGCCCCCCCCCACGGCCACCCCGCCTTGGCGCCTCCGCCCTGGCCTCCCCGTCCGGCTCCCCGGGTCAGTCCCTCACCGTCTCCCGTTCCCCCTCCCCCGCCACCTCGCGGCTCTCCCCACACGCCTCCGCCTCACCCTTTTTCCACTCCCCCTCCCGCTCGCCGGGGGGAAGCGCCGAGCGTTACCCGCTGCCGTACGGCCACAGCAGGGCCCTCGACGGCGCCGTGCTGGCGGCGGCGTGTGCTGCGGCGCCCATTAACCCCTTTCATAGCACCGCTACGGCCTCCCACCGCTCCTTCGCGCCCTCCACCCACCGGGGTGCGGGTGGGGGAGGGTTACGGCGCGCCGACGAGTCTAGCGGCGCCCTAAACAACATACAT